ACAATGACAATAAAGGCTATTCTATTCTATTCTATCAGCCTGATGTCTGCAGTTTAGTGTCAGCACAACTTTCACATCATATTCATCTCAGCACAACTAAAACATGCTGACTGACCCCAGAGTTTCAAGTTTACATCCTGGACTCTCCAGGAAACCACACAGATGCTTCACTCCTGGATCCTTCAGGTTGTTGTTCCAGCTCAGGTCCAGCTCTCTCAGATGGGAGGGGTTGGACTTCAGTGCTGCTGCCAGATAATCACAGCTGATCTCTGACAAACCACAGTCCCACAATCTGTATAAAGAATGAAAGATGTAAGTTTATTAGACAAAGTGCTTGAAATCATTCAGTGTTTCATCATCTGTTCAGAGCTGAAGAAGGTTCAGAATGTAGAAGTTTAGAAAATGGAAACTCCAAACAGCTGAAGCCAACAGGAAGCAGCTTCAAACAAACACAACAAGAGAAAAAACTCTGAATGTTTCACATTAAAGTCGTACATTTCTCATAAAAACAGGACAAAGCCTTGAAGAAGTCGTGTTTTTCCTTCCAGGAACCACATGGCTTCACTTTTAAAGGTGAAGTGTGACAGAAATGGACATATTTGAAGTCCAACACCTTTTTCCAGTCACATTATTAAAGCAGACAAACTACAAGCTCATTTTCATTGCAACAAGTCATCTTCTGACCTGGACTAACAACACTGGTCTCTATGTGCAGCTGGCTGTGAGACCAGTGCTCAGGGAGCGTCTACAAAGTGCAACACTGAAAGAACATCACACACTCATTTGCTTCCAGCACACAAACATCTACTGTCATCATTGTCACCAAACTCTGTGGATCCTTTATTGCAAATTCAAATGGGATCAAATGGTCAGACAAAAGAGGCTTATGAGGAAATATGATGAAATGTTGTGTATTAGCAGCAAGTTATTGAATCATTTTCCTCAGAAACAAACAAAATGATTGACAAACATGTTTTTACAAACTCAGTGTTGGACTTGGATCAGCAGGATAAGCTGATGTTTAAAGGCATTTGAGTCTCGCTGTATGAGAGTCCAGTTATTACTCAACATTTATGGATGATGTTCTTTCAGTGTTGCACTTTGTAGACGCTCCCTGAGCCTCACAGCCAGCTGCACATGGACCAGCTGACATCACCCAGCATTAGAGGCGGCTGTAAAAAATTCATGTTCCCATTTAAATGGTTTTAATTTGAATAAAACGATGTTGATTCATTCAATCCTGAATCGATGTTTAATATTAATGTATTTTGCCAGAATCTCAGGTTAAAGCTCACAAACTATTTCAACAAGCAGCAAACAGCTAAAACAGTAAATGAGAGCAGCTAAACACACAAAGATGGAAACACAGAGCGTGGATCGTTCACTCGACGGCACGTACACGGACACGCCGTCGGGGCTGAAAGTGGACAGCTCACAGATCCTGAAGCTGCAGGTTTCATCTGTCTCCAACCAAAACTGAGTGAAGCAGCAGCAAAGAAGATCCAAACTCTGCTTCACGTTTGATCAATATGCTCATGAATTCTCTCTGACTTTGGCTGTTCCTGCCTGCACAGCTCTCTCTCTCTCAGTGGACTCCAAGAACAGCTTCAAACATCTGTTTCTGCATCATTCACTGTTTATTAGCCACCAGTCTGCTGTTGTGTTCAGTGCTGTCGGCCTCTGACAGTAAAGCCTCATTTCTGCTGTTCCATGGAAACTTTTTAAAATGATGACAGATTACAAACTCTCAGCTGTGTCTGTAATCAAACCTCTGTAACTTTGCTTCACTTCAGCAGCATCAGCTCATGTTCACATGTTGGTTCATGGTTTGCTTCAGTTGTTGATGGACTGCAGAATATTTTGAAGGTTATCTGCTATAAAAAGCCAGAAGAGGAAAATCTGCTTCATGTGTTTCTGTTTGATCCTCAGTGACTTTGACACAAAGGCCTCTGCTGTGATGATCACACCTCTGATCAGGTCTCACAGTGTCACAACTGACCAATGATCAGAGTTAGAATATTTCTGACTGTCTGCTGTGTGCCGTGACCTTTGACCTGCTAAAGACAGTCAGCTGTGGATGATTCATTGTTGTGTCTGATACTTAGAACTGTGAGGAAGAAGCTACACAGTTAATCAGGGTCCCCTCTCTCTGAATCAGGAAAGGTGGGCAGGCCGCGTGTGGGCCACGGGCCATACGTTGAGTCTCACTGTTTGAAATGTGAACATTGTTCTGCTGCAGTCAATGGACTAAACCAGAGAAGAAGAAAACAGACTTTACCATGAAGATCCTCAGTGTGGATCAGTATAATATCAGCCTGATGTCTGCAGTTTAGAGTCAGCACAACTTTCACATCATATTCATCTCAGCACAACTAAAACATGCTGACTGACCTCAGAGTTTCAAGTTTACATCCTGGACTGTCCAGGAAACCACACAGATGCTTCACTCCTGGATCCTTCAGGTTGTTGTTGTCGCTCAGGTTCAGCTGTCTCAGATGGGAGGGGTTGGACTTCAGTGCTGCTGCCAGATAATCACAGCTGATCTCTGACAAATCACAGCCCCACAATCTGTATAAGGAATGAAAGATGTAAGTTTATTAGACAAAGTGCTTGAAATCATTCAGTGTTTCATCATCTGTTCAGAGCTGAAGAAGGTTCAGAATGTAGAAGTTTAGAAAATGGAAACTCCAAACAGCTGAAGCCAACAGGAAGCAGCTTCAAACAGGAAACTGTGCAGAGTTTCAGACTATATGTCCTGATGCAGCCAGTTGGATTTTGGAGATTTGAATCTCTGTTCTGTGACTAAGTCCTTGAATCATTTCTTCCAGTTGGTCCAACAAGACAGACTAAGTATTGGACATGTGTTGTGGCTCCATCAGGGGAGCTTCTAAATGTGATGTGATGGCCCCTCTGGGTCTGTCAGGTCACAGCACTGAAGAGAGCTCAAACTGGGCACACAGCTGTTCCAGTCTGGACCAAAGACTCTATACTGGGACTGAGGGACTGCTTTGACTGCTCCCACTGGGACTTTTTAAAGGCTCATGTTCTCACTTAGATCATCGATTTCTACTGACATTTCTTTCTGGGGAAAATGGGGATTACTTTGGAAACAGGAAGTATTTTCCCCAATAAGCAGCCCTGGATTAGTAAATCACTCCAACATGTTCTCAGGCAGAAGAAGCTGTCTTGTTATGAGGGAGAGAAGAAAAAGATTGAGGCACAGAAACTTGTTGAAAGAGAGATAAAGCAGCTAAAATCAGGTGTAAAAGTAAAGCAGAGGACGAGCTGAATAAAGGACACTCAAGGCTGGCTTGGAAAGGAATGAAGTCCATGGTGGGGATGCAGGACAAGGAGCAAAGATGAATGTGATGCTGAATCAGCAGAAGACTTGGACTCATTTGATTCCAGCTTTGATATCATTGATTTCAATGAAGAGCTTTGTGATTGTAGCAAAGGGCTGGTAGCTCTGAGAGTCCCACTGATGAGGTGTTTGTGTGGAAATCTCTTAGTGGGACCAAAGAGAGAAAAAGCCCTGGTCCTGATGCTGTGGGAGGGAGATGATTGAAGTGTGCTGTGAGGAACATTTTCCAGTCCTCCTTGGAACAACAGGAAGTTCCCAGCATATGGAAACAAAGGTTAAGTGTCCTATGGCACTCAGTGATGATGGTGCTGTGGCCCCACCACCTCCACCTCTTTGTAAAGGAACTAACTGTAATCTGAAGCTTCAAATGGAACTAAGACTTCCTCCACTAGGTGGCAGTGTCTGATGAGAAAGTGTTAGTGGAGCTGGCCTGGAGTCAGAAACAGGAAGATGCAGGATTTGGGCTGAAATGGGGAAAAGTGGTTCGCACTAGTGCCTTAAAGCAAGAAGGTTGTAGGTTGAAGCTTGGTGGCCTTTCTGTGGAGGTTGGATGTGTCACGGTTCTGGGTCCGTTGGACCCAGTATTTTGAGTTTATTATGTTTTGGTTTATTTTTGCATTATGGATTGTTTTCTGATGTTCTGGTGCTTTGTTTATTATTATCATTATACATCTGTTTCTATTCTTGGTGAGGGATCAGTTCTTAGGTTTTGGGTTCTCATGTGTATTACAGTTTCTGTTCAGTGTCTAGTCTGTCTCTCAGTGTCATGTCTGCATCTGGTTTAGTAATTCTTGTTTCCTGTTTTATTGTGAAAGTCTTTGTCTTATGTTAGTGTGTGCAGCTTAGCTCCCCCGTCTCGTTAGCCCTGATCTCCTCCAGCTGTGTCTCCCTTCTGTTGCCCATTCCCTCATTACTACCCTGTGTATTTAAGCCCTGTGTTTTCCCATGCTCTGTGTCGCGTCGTACCATCAGATTATGCCTGTGTGTTTCGGTTCTCCTTATTCCGTGTTCAATTCATGTTTTGTTTTTGTACCAGCAATAAAGCTGAGGTTTTTGAGTTTCAAGTTAGTGTCTGAGTCCTGCGTTTGGATCCTCCTCTCCGCCTGCCCGCACACAGAGCCCTGACAGGATGTTCTCCCACAGTCCAATGAAATGCTGCTTAGGTTCATTGGTGCTTCTACATTGGCTGTAGGTGTGGATGTGAGAGAGTGCTTCTCTGTCTTTCTCTGTTGGCCCTGTGATGGACTGCTCACCTGTGCAGGTGGACCACGCCTTTTTCATATACAAATTACAACCTTTAATAGAAACCTATTGGTCAGCATCATTCCACAGAAAACTGAGAGAAACTAACAGAGCTGATAAAGAATAAAGAGAAATGTGCTGATTTAAAGCCTTTGAAGGGCTTCAGATGATCTCTGTCCACTTCTGTCCACTCATTCATTCATGTAAGCTTTTGAAATGTGAACATTGTTCTGCTGCAGTCAATGGACTAAACCAGAGAAGAAGAAAACAGACTTTACCATGAAGATCCTCAGTGTGGATCAGTATAATATCAGCCTGATGTCTGCAGTTTAGTGTCAGCACAACTTTCACATCATATTCATCTCAGCACAACTAAAACATGCTGACTGACCTCAGAGTTTCAAGTTTACATCCTGGACTCTCCAGGAAACCACACAGATGCTTCACTCCTGGATCCTGAAGGTTGTTGTTCCAGCTCAGCTCCAGCTCTCTCAGATGGGAGGGGTTGGACTTCAGCGCTGCTGCCAGATAATCACAGCTGATCTCTGACAAATCACAGTCCTCCAATCTGTATAAAGAATGAAAGATGTAAGTTTATTAGACAAAGTGCTTGAAATCATTCAGTGTTTCATCATCTGTTCAGAGCTGAAGAAGGTTCAGAATGTAGAAGTTTAGAAAATGGAAACTCCAAACAGCTGAAGCCAACAGGAAGCAGCTTCAAACAAACACAACAAGAGAAAAAACTCTGAATGTTTCACATTAAAGTCGTACATTTCTCATAAAAACAGGACAAAGACTTGAAGAAGTCGTGTTTTTCCTTCCAGGAACCACAAGGCTTCACTTTTAAAGGTGAAGTGTGACAGAAACGGACATATTTGAAGTCCAACACCTTTTTCCAGTCACATTATTAAAGCAGACAAACTACAAGCTCATTTTCATTCCAACAAGTCATCTTCTGACCTGGACTAACAACACTGGTGTCTATGTGCAGCTGGCTGTGAGACCAGTGCTCAGGGAGCGTCTACAAAGGGCAACACTGAAAGAACATCACACACTCATTTGCTTCCAGCACACAAACATCTACGGTCATTATTCATGTTCCTGCTCCTCTGGATTCACACGGAGCTTCTGGTCGTTATTTACCCGTTGCCATTTTGAACCGTAATATCCATAACTCAGACTGAGCATGCTCAGAGCTGGTTGACCTGACTGTGATCAGTTCCTGGTATATAGCTTATTGTCTAATATGAGCTGATTGTTATTAACTCTTTAAGACCGGTCGGGGCGGGCACGCTCCATTTTGCGTAACTATTTTTAAATCTCTGTACAACTGGAACCACATAAGCTAGCGCAATAATTTGTTTTGCATATGGAACCGGAGGAGTTGTACTTACATGTTATGCCATCAGCTTGTCCTCGGTCACGGTTTCCTTCCACTTATAGCTTTGCAAATATTGCATAAAAAGCACTTGCAGCAACAAAAGCATAATATGTCAGAAACAAGCTTTGCCGATCCGATCAGCTGTTTGCAACACTTCCTAGGTTGGAATAGACGTCAGCGCGAACTATCACGTGTCCGCCATTACCTGCCCGAAACCGGAAGTGACATTTTCGCGGAAAATGTCGTTTTTTAGTCCGCCAGAGCTTATCTTTATATTTTTACATGCTGTAGAGCCATTTTTGGGAGTATTTCAAGTTGATATACATCAATACAACCATTATAGCCTAAATTTTAATAATATGTATACATTAAGTCCATAGAAACTACATGAATTACAAAAAAGTGCAATAAACTACGTTTTTGTGTTTTTACATATATTTCTAGTTAGAGAAATTCAAGAGGTTTATCCCTCAAAACTGTAAATACAAAAAGTTTCACAAAATAGTTTCCCACCACAGGAAATTTATTTTGAGTGTCTTCATAGTTTCATTTTTGAGATAGACCAATTTTTATATACTGCAGGAAAAACGAAAATAAATATTATACTGCAAATTTGCAAACAAACAGAATGTGCATCAAAATAAACGATTTCCAGCAGTGCAATATGAGTTCTAAGCATCCCAGAAACGACACAGAAAAGCATAAAGTCAAACATGACTTTCAAAAACACCAGTGTAGGTTTATAAGACCCTGAAGGTTAAAAAAAACGCCTAAATTTTCCACGAAAATGACATCACTTCCGGTTTCGGGCAGGTAATGGCGGACACGTGATAGTTCGCGCTGACGTCTATTCCAACCTAGGAAGTGTTGCAAACAGCTGATCGGATCGGCAAAGCTTGTTTCTGACATATTATGCTTTTGTTGCTGCAAGTGCTTTTGATGCAATATTTGCAAAGCTATAAGTGGAAGGAAACTGTGACCGAGGACAAGCTGATGGCATAACATGTAAGTACAACTCCTCCGGTTCCATATGCAACTAAAATTATTGCGCTAGCTTATGTGGTTCCAGTTGTACAGAGATTTAAAAATAGTTACGCAAAATGGAGCGTGCCCGCCCCAACCGGTCTTAAAGGATTAAACACAGTTAGCACACACAGAGGCAGACTCTGTCTAAACCCTCAGAACAAAAGCTGTCCACGTGTTTCTGTCAGTCCAAATATTTCTTACAGTTATTGCTGTAATCACTGCCTTCACATTGTTAGTCAAAGCTGGAAATCATTCAAAGGAAACTTCATATTCACCAGCACTCAATGTGATATCATCAGTGAATGTCTCCGCCTCCAGCTCACATCAAAGCATACGACTACATGAGCAGCTAGCATTACCCAGCATGCCGTGCAGCAGTGTTAGTTTGTAAATGTGCAATAATTCCTGTTACAAACTGTTTCACAGATTGCTGTGTGTCGTGACCTTTGAACCTTAGAACTGTGAGGAAGAACACTACACAGTTAATCAGGGTCCCCTCTCTCTGAATCAGGAAAGGTGGGCAGGCCGCGTGTGGGCCGCGGGCCATATGTTGAATATCACTGTTTGAAATGTGAACATTGTTCTGCTGCAGTCAATGGACTAAACCAGAGAAGAAGAAAACAGACTTTACCATGAAGATCCTCAGTGTGGATCAGTATAATATCAGCCTGATGTCTGCAGTTTAGTGTCAGCACAACTTTCACATCATATTCATCTCAGCACAACTAAAACATGCTGACTGACCTCAGAGTTTCAAATCGACATCGTCGATTCTCCAGGAAATCACACAGATGCTTCACTCCTGGATCCTTCAGGTTGCTGTAGGTTCCACTCAGGTCGACTTCTGTGGGATACGAGGGGTTGGACTTCAGCGCTGCTGCCAGATAATCAAGGCCAATATCTGACAAACCACAGCGCACCAATCTGTATAAAGAATGAAAGATGTAAGTTTATTAGACAAAGTGCTTGAAATCATTCAGTGTTTCATCATCTGTTCAGAGCTGAAGAAGCTTCAGAATGTAGAAGTTTAGAAAATGGAAACTCCAAACAGCTGAAGCCAACAGGAAGCAGCTTCAAACAAACACAACAAGAGAAAAAACTCTGAATGTTTCACAATAAAGTCGTACATTTCTAACAAGAGTATTTTAAAGACAGCGTCACTGATGATCATCTTCTGCCCAGTAAAACTTTGGTTTTCCACATGTGAGTGTTAATGATGCACAAAGACTGTGAGTGCAAAGAGGGAGCGAGGAGGATGACACAGAGATGGTACAGGAACATCAAGAGCCCGGCGAGGAAATGAGCAGAAGGACTTTGGAGCCTGTTGGATTGAAGCTTTCACAGAGACGTGTTTGACTGGACACCACCAGGACAGACTTTTAATCCCAGGATTTGGATGAGCTTTCTGTCTTTATGGTCACAAATGATGCTGTAACTCTGTGACTGTCCTGGAACAGCAGTATGGTTACGTCCTTTGGACCTGAGTTTCCACAGCTCTTATAACAGCAGTGTACATTCACCTGCAGGCACACGCTGCCTCTGCTTCAGCTCGGTTTATGAAGCACAGACTGCAGGAAGCAAACTCAGACTGGCTCATTTCAATCATGTCCGCTCACAAAGACACTTTGAAACTCTTATCAGTATGTTTCCTGTCCTACTAGGAGGGATCAAACTCGATTGCGGCTCCCGCGAAAATTCGGAAGCAGATTTGCGGCGCCAAAACGCCTGAAACGCGCGTCAGTGTAGCGCGTTTCAGGCGTTTGACTCGCGAAAAAAACCACGCGTGTGAGTTTTTGTGTTGCATTTTGTGCATACACGCATTTCGCATCTACCGCTCAAGTTGGAAAAATCTGAACTCCAGCGTCAAATCGCGCCGCGACAACCAATCAGGAGCCTGGTGACGTGGCTGTAACCTAGGTCAAAGGGGCAGATCCAGCCAAAGCCCTTCATACTTCAATGGTGGGAAGGCTAATCAACGCCGTAGCAAACAACTCGGAGCTGTACAACACCAGCTGCTTTCAGTACCCAGACAGGAATAAAAAGGACCGAGCTTGGAGGAAGATATGTGAAGAGATCGGGCAACCTAGTAAGTTCATTCATTTCTCTTTTGAAAGTTTTCACTGACCCGGGGAAGCCGCACAAAAGCTAGCAAGCCACCGCTATTTTCCCACTGACGTACAAATACCGTTCTGCTTTTATGCATGTTGTCATTTAGGAATATATTTTATTGTTTATTAATAAACAGCACACAGTGGTCCCGCTGTTCATCCGTCACTGCTTTGCTTTTTCGCTGATTTTTTATTGCACAGTACAGCATTGCATTCTGCAGCCTGATTGACAAATCTGCTCCGTGTCGTGTCTCCTGCGCTTGCCAAATTTGTCATGTTTGGTTTTGATAACCATCGCGTCCAATAGAAAAACCAGCACAAAAACACCCATAACTATGAGCCTCATTCAGAAATAGACACCTGCACCGTGAGGGGAAAAGGCGCACGAAAGTGGCGGGCAGATGAAGACAAACCGCGGCATAATAATACTTTTACGTTTTGCAATCTAAAAAGGTTTGCACTTTGAGAATCAATTGTGAGAACTGTGACCAGGGGCTAGTTATTCTGAGCAGTGGCGTGTCTAGAAAATTTTTGTTGGGAGGGCCAGGTAGGGGCACAGATTTGGAGAGGGGTGGCAGATGTAATTGGCAGATAATGTTTTAAAAAAATTCTACCAACTGTTAACCATAATTCAATAACCCTATAAATCTAATAACCAAATGCACTTTTAACTCTTATTAGAATGAGATTTTAACCACTACGGTGCAAAGTTTTTAGATACTGCGTTGATAAAGTACAAGAGATACAATCAGTGCTTTGTCAGTGTTTACTCAGCAGTCAAGGACAGCAATATTTGCATAGTATTTTTACTGACATATACTGCACATATGTTTTGGGCAAAAACATTTTTTAATATTAAAATACGAACATTTGTAACAAACAATTGACAAATTAGCCAATGCCAATGCAAAACTTTATCTGCCTGTTAAAAAAAGAAGATAATCTTCTCACAAACTGGTGTTTGATTGTGAAACAGGAAAAAAGTGGGGAAACAACTGAAAAGACTAACATTTGAATAAAACCTGAAAGCAAGTAAATACTTTCTATGCTGCCTTATGGTAAACTTTGGTAATATTGATAAAGAACAACACTGGCTGATGATAAAATCCAGTCAGCTGGCATGGTGACACTGCCAGTATTAACCTGCAGGGCTGGACCGGTACAGAAAATCGGGCATTTTGACTACAGACTGACCCACCAGGTATTAAAGCCATAAAGACTTTGACTGAAAACAAATGCTGTTGTGACAGGGATGTACAGTCTTGTTGGTATATGTATGATTTCTATACATTTTACGTCAGATAAAAACTTTGGTTGTAAGATTTAGATAATTATTTAATAAAAGCTAGACATTTTAAATGAGAATAAGAAAGAAAAGTATTTCTTTGTGCCCCCCCTCTCCCTGTTAATGCCCTACCTGGCCCCCTGGCAACACTTTGCTAGATCTGCACCTGCACAGTTATCAGCTGTCAGCTACATAAAAAAGGATCCTGGTGTTATTTGTCTCTGAGAAACAGTTCATAACTTCAACTCATTCATGTCACCTAAAAGGTAAACCCGTTTCTCCATCACCTGTTCAGCTCTGATGATTCAGTAAGGACATCTCCTGGTTTCATGTTTCCCTCTCACCACATATCTAAACTGACATCATGACCAGCAGCTTTACAGCTGTGGCTCCAGCAAACATCAGCTGATACTAGAAATTAATATTAAATAAATTCTAACAACAGCTGATCAAGCTTAAAAGTGCTGCTGTTGTTTACCGCGACATCCGCTGGTTTCCTCTTTCTGGCGCAAAGTGGGCGACAAACAAGAGAGAAAAGCCAATCAGCTGATCATAGATCAGTTTCATGATTGAAGTAGCAACAGGAGAGGCAGGGGAGAGAATGAGAGGAGAAGAGGCAGCTGTGCAGCAAAGACAGAATAAATCCAGCTTTGTGTCTTTTTCCATTCTAGCTAAAGTCCGGGACAAACTGCGTCTCTTCTCAGCTCAATACGAAACGTGTAATATTTTCTCTGAATGAGGGACCATTCCATTTTTTTAAGGAGCCGTTGGCAACTCTACTAACTAACCTTATGAATAAAATAAAGTTCACTATCAGTAACATCATAGCACCACCCAGCTGTATATAAACTCTATCAAGCTGGCTAGAACGCAGTACGAGTTATTGCAACTGACGGTAAAAAGTCAGCAACATGAAAATAAACTCCACCTGAACTTGGTTTATATCTGACCCAGATAGACTGCAGGTCATAACTTCTTACCTGAAGTTCAGTTCACCTGACACTCGGACTGGTGGCTGCCTCGGGGCTCTCCTCCTGCCTCCCCTTCCCTCATCCACCTGCTGGCCTCTGTGGAAGCTCCGTCATAGCCACCACCAAACAACTGAGTTATTTCTACACATCGACCTGCATCTGGCCAATCCACCACCTGTCATTGTTCATGCCGTTACAAAAAAAATAAAAAATAAGTCAAATAAGCCCGATGGCCAGTCCAGCTATGTTAACCTGCAACCAAATCTGCAGCTCCATACAGCAATGTTACGACTTAGATTATATCTTATAACGCATAACTCTTATGTTAGCTCCCCTCTGTAGCATACTGTCTGAAATATTCCACAGCTGCAATAATTCTTTAAGTGTTATTTTTTTCCTTGGTATTCTAATTTCGCCGAAGTTTACTAAACTCAACAAACTTAATATTACTTACCGGGACATTTATTCTGTCCTCATTTTCTTTCACTGAAAAATTGTTTCCTGTAGTGCGTCTTTCGCGCTTGGCTCTCCTACCTTTGCTAACGTGATGCGCATAGCGCAGAAGCCGATGCTGCATTCACTTACACTCGGATATCTGAGCGTCACCGTGAAAACATAATCGGACATTTGATATTTGATTGAATTTTATTGTTTTGCCTTTGGGGTGGCACCTGGGGGGGCCAGTCTGGTTGGGGGGGGTGGCCTGTGCCCCCCCAGGCCACCCCGCTGGACACGCCACTGATTCTGAGAACCCCTGCTGCAATAAATGAGGGACCACTGTCTACTCTACGATTATTGTTTTCAACCTGTTAACATTTAATACTGTATTGATAGAACCAACTGATTCTGCAGCAGAGCATCCCCAGTCCCTGAGCCCCTACTGCTGCACCCACAGGTATGTACAGCAGCACTGATAGCTTTTTACTCTGTGGGATTACCTTGTGATCACCTTTACTAAATGTCTACAACCAATCTGATTATATCCTGTTTTTTTTTTTCAATGTTGAAATTAAAATCTAGTAGCAGCCTTCTCATTTCTTTGTGTTTTGTGCTGTTTTACAGGCCCACAGGGGAGGACGGCTCCGAGGCAGATGAGGGACGGGTCCCAGGACGGTCCATCAGCGGTGGAGCTGGCCACCCTGGAGTCCCTGAAGAGGCCACACCAGTCTCCAATGGAGCATTTCCTCCTCAGCCTTGTTCCTGCTCTGGAGAGCAGCTGGTCCTTTTTATTCCTGTCTCTCTGTAAATTCTTATATTTTATATATTTATGTTTAATGTTTTTCTGTTTGAGACTTTTAATATTATTTCAAATAAATGTTTATAATGACTAATGTCTCAGTTCTACTACACAGCAAATGTTGGCACACGACTTGACACATGTAGAATTTATTTCATATTATACTAATGACAAAATATACTGATACAGTGGGATGCAGAAGTTTGGGCAACCTTGTTAATAGACATTATTTTCCTGTATAAATCGTTGGTTGTTACAATAAAAAATGTCAGTTAAATATCATACAGGAGACACACACAGTGATATTTGAGAAGTGAAAAGAAGTTTACTGGATTTACAGAAAGTGTGCAATAATTGTTTAAACAAAATCAAGCAGGTGCATCAATTTGGGCACCACAAAAAAGAAATGAAATGAATATTTAGTGTATATCAATGTGTGTGTCTCCTATATGATATATGGGGTGCCTTTGTCTGGACGTGCTTCCCATCCAGAGCTGCACAGCACAGAGGAAAGTTCCAGCGCTCCCTCTGTGATGGAGCGCCAGTCTCCAGGTGAAGGCGCAGCCATGAAGTCGTCCACTAGACAGTCCCAGATGGACGTCGCTGCCTGGGGGATGATCTGGCTCACCGTGGACACACCGACTCTGAAACTGAACGCGATGGTCCTGAAGGAGTCCCCGGTGACAAGGAACCTGGACAAAATTGTTCAAATCAGTATTATGTGTACTGCAGTTACAAAATACATTATTCAAATTCCAAAATACTTTTGTGATGTCAGATATAAATCACAAAACATGAATCTTACATAAAACATTTTGTAATTATAAGGATAATTACAAAATGTATATTAGATAATATCTAAAACAGTTGTGTTTTGTTTTAACTTTAACATATCATAATTTGATTGGTAGCAACTTTCACAACTACAGTGAGCCAATCACTCATAATTCCTAAACATGTCAATCAGGTAGGAATGAAGTAAGACATTAATAGAAATAAAGAGTTGTGTGTTCACATGTAGCCCTTTCCTTGCTTAAATCATTAATATTTTTGAAAAATTAATCTGTGATAAGACAGCTTATCAAGATAGAACCATGTAACTAGAGATGAACCAAACTGTTCAGTTTTATCTAACTCTGTTTTAATAAAGGCTGTGACCCCTGCTATAGAGTCTGACAGCTGCAGGGATTATATACAAATATTCAACTATCCCAGAATTAAACCAGGTCTAAATAAAAAGGAGTGAGTATCACTACAAAGGTTAACTCAGTGGTCCTAATGCTACAGTTTGATATCAGCAAACACCGAGCACATACATTGATGTGACACCACAGCCATGCTATCATGCAAACACTGAGAACAGCATAAATCGAATTAAATCGGGGCTTGATGAGAGCTTCTGAGTATCACTAGAAATATTATAAAGAGTCGTCTCTGTACCACAGTTTGCTTTCAGTAAACACCGACAGCATTCACTGTTAGCATAGCACATCCATGTTAGCAGTCTATAAACAATAGTTTAGCATATTAGCACAGGTATCAATAAAGGACTACCGCATTAAACACTTTTACTAACCTCAGGCAGACGGACAGGCGCTCTGCAGGTGGGATTGAGCGCCTGTAGTTGGTGTCTAGGCGGGCGATGCTGGGACCAACGGGGGACAGCAGGTCCTCAAACTGGCCGAGTGAACGACGGTGATAGCGCTGGAATCCGCCGTCATCCAGGCGCAGCTCCTGGAGCAAGTGGTGAAACTCACCAAACTGCTCACGCGTCTGGAGGACCTGATGGACCCAGGTACGGCGAGGACGTCTTTTACGCCGCTACTCTGCTCTCCACAGTACATAGAGAAGGGAGACTCTCTCTTCAAGCGCTAGCTCGACACCTGCCATCTTGCAAAGATACCGTCTGGCACAACTTCCTCCCACATTCCTCCCACATTTCCGGTTCACGCGCGTCAAAATATATTTTGAGGCGCGAAGGATTTTTCTTGGACACGCGTAGAGGTGCGAATGTGATGCGTCAAATTAGGGGCGTTTGGGGCGTTTTGTTCGCGTCCATCGCGTTCAGTGTGAACACACCGTTAGTGGGTTGAGTGATTCCTGCTGCACTGTTTGTCCTTCTTATTGAAGTGACCTGCTGAGAGCTCACATTGTTCTCTGTAGAAATGATGTCAGTCTGACTCGTCACATGTTTGGAGGCGTGTTTGATGTTTGCTCTTCTGGAAACTCTCAGTATCAAATATGGACGATGCAAAGGAGACACTTCAGTCTGTATGGACCTGTTTCTGTAGCTGCCACCATCATTCTACATGTTTGTACATCAGCTGATCAAATCCTGTCTGCTGTCTTCATTTCACTCTTCACCTGCTTCACTGTCACTGTGTGGGCGGAGCTGCCTGAGCCCCGCCCACACAGAAAGCTCCTCTCTGGAGCTAAACTTCTGCTTCATCTCCGCCTCTTTTCTTCATCCTCCACCTCTCTTTTCTCTTCTTCAGTTTCTGCAGCCACGGAGCCTCACAGCCGTTAGCACGCCCATACCTGAGCAGCTAGCATTACCCAGCATGCCGTGCAGCAGTGTCAGTTTGTAAATGTGCAAGAATTCCTGCCGTGACCTTTGACCTGCTAAAGACAGTCAGCTGTGGATGATTCATTGTTGTGTCTGATACCTAGAACTGTGAGGAAGAACACTACACAGTTAATCAGGGTCCCCTCTCTCTGAATCAGGAAAGGTGGGCAGGCCGCGTGTGGGCCGCAGGCCATACGTTGAATATCACTGTTTGAAATGTGAACATTGTTCTGCTGCAGTCAATGGACTAAACCAGAGAAGAAGAAAACAGACTTTACCATGAAGATCCTCAGTGTGGATCAGTATAATATCAGCCTGATGTCTGCAGTTTAGTGTCAGCACAACTTTCACATCATATTCATCTCAGCACAACTAAAACATGCTGACTGACCTCAGAGTTTCAAATCGACATCGTCGATTCTCCAGGAAACCACACAGATGCTTCACTCCTGGATCCTTCAGGTTGCTGTAGGTTCCACTCAGGTCCACCTCTGTGGGATACGAGGGGTTGGACTTCAGTGCTGCTGCCAGATAATCAAGGCCAATATCTGACAAACCACAGTCCATCAATCTGTATAAAGAATGAAAGATGTAAGTTTATTAGACAAAGTGCTTGAAATCATTCAGTGTTTCATCATCTGTTCAGAGCTGAAGAAGGTTCAGAATGTAGAAGTTTAGAAAATGGAAACTCCAAACAGCTGAAGCCAACAGGAAGCAGCTTCAAACAAACACAACAAGAGAAAAAACTCTGAATGTTTCACATTAAAGTCGTACATTTCTCATAAAAACAGGACAAAGACTTGAAAAAGTCGTGTTTTTCCTTCCAGGAACCACATGGCTTCACTTTTAAAGGTGAAGTGTGACAGAAACGGACATATTTGAAGTCCAACACCTTTTTCCAGTCACATTATTAAAGCAGACAAACTACAAGCTCATTTTCATTCCAACAAGTCATCTTCTGACCTGGACTAACAACACTGGTGTCTATGTGCAGCTGGCTGTGAGACCAGTGCTCAGGGAGCGTCTACAAAGGGCAACACTGAAAGAACATCACACACTCATTTGCTTCCAGCACACAAACATCTACGGTCATTATTCATGTTCCTGCTCCTCTGGATTCACACGGAGCCTCTGCTCTTTATTTACCCGTTGCCATGGTGAATTATAGTATGTGGCTCCATAACTCAGACTGAGCATGCTCAGAGCAGATTGGCCTGACTCTGATCAGCTGATCTGGAACAGGAAACTCTGCTATATGTACATTATTACATCTACACCTGAATCTCAACACTCACAAATATATCAACTGTGTTTAATATTTTGGCACGTAGATCATTCATGTGCTTCAGCTCTTCTTACATTTTACCACCAACACGTTTCAAAAGGAGCAGCTTTGACTTTGAAGGCCAGCTGTCTCTGTTTCCTGTTTTCCTTGTTGGATACTGGAACAAGTCGATGCTTCAGTGCGTTGAATCGAGCGTTGAAGAATGAATCCACACGTCAATAAACATTTTCATCAGCACAAGCAGGACAATGAAAGTAGGAAATACCCAAGCTGCCATTTCTCATTCTACAACTTCAACAACTGCACATGAATTAAACTTCATACACAGACTCACAGTCTCTGGTTGCTCTGAAATCTCACTGACAGCCAATAGAAATAAAGAAAAGTCCAGACTGACAGTCTCTGTGGGGTTAGGCAGTGAACTGCTCATGCTGCGTTCAAGTGCATCACAAACTATCAGAATTGGATCCAACTTTGTGAAGCAGATTTCTTCTCAGCTGCTGTTTTGAACATTTCCTCGTGAACTGTATTAAACTCTGTAAATGAACAGAACTATTTCTACATTTGAAACTATGGATTCATTTTCCCGTTCACTTCTGTACATTAGTGTATAAATGAATGTTAGACTGGGCTCCATGCACACACTTGGTCTCAGCTGCCTTCTTCCTGAGTCATTCCAACAGAGTCCTTTCTCTTCTCCAGCTTCTGTTCGAAATCCTCTCACAGAGCCTGAATCCTGCTTTGCTGTCACGTTTGGGCCTGTGTTGGGCTGCTCTGTGTTCCTCTGCTTTAACACACACCTCACCACAGCAGCTGTGTGGGTCGTCTCTGTAGCAGCCAGATCAGCTTCTGATACATGAACATCATCCTAACTTCACCTTTATTAGCTTTGACATTCATGTCTTTCTTTTCTCTCTGTTTCCACACAAGCTCAAAGTCTCTGCAGCCTGTTTTTATCTGCTACCATCAGATCTTCATCATCCTCATTCACATCCCTCACACACTCTACAGCCTCATCAGCACTGACTTCATCTTCACTGACTGATGGAGCCCAACATGAACCTGTGGAGGCTGAGACAAACATGTCAAACATCTCCCCGTCACCACTCCACTTCTGTCAGCCTTTAAATGAACCCTGCTCAAGTCTGTCACTTCTGTTTGGAGCCAAAAGGAAAAACTGTTGCTCACTCTGGAAAGACAACATTTCTGAAAGCACTCAAACTTCTTCATGTTTGTCTTCAGACACATCCTGAACATTTAGGAACTAAAGAAAGTTTCAAACATCAAAGACCTGAAATATAGAAAAACAACAACAGCTGTAGTCAGTGAACTCACCTCAGAGTCTCCAGCCGACAGTTTGGACTCTCCAGTCCAGCACACAGAAGCTTCACTCCTGAATCCTGCAGGTTGTTCTCGCTCATGTCCAGCTCTGTCAGATGGGAGGGGTTGGACTTCAGAGCTGAGGCCACAACTTCACAGTGAGTCTCTGAGAGTCGACACTGAGTCAGTCTGTGATTATAGAAAATGTAAAATATGTTATTATAGAAGCAGAAAATCTGCATTATAAACACAGACTGAATGTATATGAAGACAAAACAGAGTGAGGTCATAATCTGATGAATCTGCTCTTCACATCTGTGCTTCAGCTCCTCTTACTGTGTTTGACATGACACAACGACTGAGTCTCTCTCAGACCTGCAGACTTTGAATGAGAATCTTTGTTTGGCTTTAATCTGCAGATGAAGGAGGAAGATGGTGTCACATTTAGGCTTCCATAATGTCCACAGTCTGTCCCTGAGATCTGATCCAGAGTCAGAGTGAAGACACACATTTGGACTGTTTCCTGTCTTGAATCTGACTCCAGAACATTTTGAATGAGTTCAGCTCAGTGAAGAGTTCCAGCTGGAAAGATGATCTCTGTTTGCTACCTGCTGTCAGGTACGACTGCCATAATAAACATGGAGAGTGAGCATGAAGGTGCAGAGGAAGACTCTAGTGTCATTTTTTAATGGTTTTTAAAAGGGTTTTTAAGGGTTTTCATGGATGGTTTGATTTCCAGCAGGACACTTAAACATGACAGTGGACGTCCTAAAGAACATATTCACTGATATGAAACGTGTCATTGAACAGGATTACTATCAGTGCAAACATGGTGGAAACAGCTGTGACTGCATGGATGTGACACACTTCAAATCTGCTCTTCACTCTTGGATTTGGGATCCACGGAGCTGCTCTGTGTCAATAAAGGAATGGTGTGGAAGGTCGCAGCGTACGGACACAAACACTGTGAGGTAATGGCGTAAAAACTAAACAATGAGCTCTGTGATTAATGAGGACATGAAGTCAGACATTCCTCATTAGGAGCAGCAGGAATGAAAGTGACTCCATGTGCTGCTGGGACTTCAGCGTTAGCTCACATATCTGACACATGTTCAGTCCAGATGTCAGCAGTGTCTTCTCACTCAGTTTGTCCCACTGTTGGCAGTAAGAGAGCACAGCTGGTTCACCTCTGACCCCCACTCTGAACCACAGCACTGTCACTCATCAGTACATCACACTTTAACCACACTGAACCAGAGTCTTCCTCAGCACCCTCATCCTCACTCACCATGTTTGTGTATCTGACTATTTCCTCATTAACCACGGAGATGATGAACTCACAGAGCTGAAGGAGACTTAATGACACACACACACACACACACACACACACACACACACACACACACAACACACACACACACACACACACACACACACACACACACACACACACACACACACACACACACACTCACTACAATAACAGCCCACAGGTGTTCACTAGCTGATAAATTGCTTAAAGAGGAAACAGACACAGAGCGATGGTGGAGTCAGGAAAAGCATCACAGATCAAAGAGGAGAAGCTCAGATGGTGACTGCTCTGGATATTTGTTGTTGTTTTTAAGGTTACTTTATTTATACCCACAGGTAAATTTACTTTACAGAAAAATGATATCATCCCTTCAAACACACAATGAAAACGCCTCACAATAACATACTTGAACATTTCAGCTCAAATCAAAAACCATTCTTCTTCTTATTGAGTTCAGTGACAGCAGCAGGACAAAGCTGTTTCTACAATGCTTTGTCCTGCATCTTGAAATACAAACCTCTGTTCTCAGGAAAGAAGCTGAAATTCACCCCGTAGAGGATGGGAGCCATTTTTAAGAATTGATAATAGGGCTGGGCCGTCTCATACTGTTCACGGTAACACCGGTATAATGTTGGTCCGTCAGACACACAACAAAGCACTATTTTTGGTAGAGCATGCTAGCGGGCCGTCGTTATTACTGTGTTGTTTGGAAAATACGGCGCACTTAAAATCATCCTTTGATTTGTCTGAAAGTCGACAGAGCCCCTTATAATCCCGTGTGCCTTATGTATGAACTCTGGTCGTGTTTACTGACCTCGAAACGATTTTATGTGCACGGCGCTCAAAATGTTTCAGTACGACTTTGCTGAGCTACGAAGCCGCACCGCTTGATGGATTGTGGGAGCATTACGGCTGTCGTAGGCGGAGCCTTGCGGAGTGATACGTGCTGTTCTTCAACATAATATTACCGTATTGTGTGTGTATAACCTCTTTTTAAGTGTTGTGGATGTTATACATGGTTATGCTGAGGATGTGTCGGCCACTGGAAACGCCTTTTGGTTAAACTGTCAGCGAGGATTTTGCATTTGCACTGTTACATTTTTATATAACTTTAAAGCACATTAAAAAACAGCTGCTTGTTTAAGTGAAAATACATTGATGGTTTTTGCACTAATAAAGTTGTGGAGTTGTAAAGTATTTTGTCTCGTGTCAATTATGTCGTCAGTTATATCGTTATCGCAAATTTTCAAATGTATATGGTGATAAATATTTTTGGTCATATCGCCCTGCTCTAGCTGATAAAGCCATCCTCTGTACCTCAAAGGAGCTTGCAAAGAAAAGCGTCTGGACTTCTTTAAGTTACTTGAAGACGTTTCACCTCTCATCCGAGAAGCTTCTTCAGTTCTAAGGTCAAATGGTGGAGAGTCCCAGATATAAACCTAGTGGGAGTGACCCCCCACAGAGGGACAAAAGGACCCCCTGATGATCCTCTAATCGCCTGAGCCAAGGTGTAAACTGAGTGTGGGTCACAATCAGCCAGAGTTTCGGGTGAGTTCATTGTGAAACCTGGCCCCACCTTATCATGCAAATTCCTGAGATCAGATAGCCCAGGATACAGGAAAAGAAGGCCGTCGCTTCCCTGAGCAAAGACCACAACATCACTGTTTTACCAGCTGATAAGGGAAGATGCACCGTGGTCCTAAACACTACAGATTACCATACAAAGATCACTACTCTCCTCAGTGACAAAAATACCTACAAAGCCCTAAAGCGAGACCCTACAAGCAGCCACAAAAAGAAAGTTATAGCTTGCCTTCAAGACTTTGAAAAGGACAAAATTATTGACCGCCTTAGATATCACCGCCTTTACTCAGGGGATGCCATACCCTGCATTTACAGACTTCCTAAAATCCACAAGGAAACTGTCCCACTCAGACCCATAGTCAGTAGCATAAACTCAGCCACTTATAACATTGCTAAACACCTTGCTACCCTCCTTGCTCCTCTCGTGGGGAACACCCCACACCACATCAAGAACTCCACCGACTTCACCGACAAGGTCCAGAAACTTACCCTGGATCCAGATGAAACCATGGTGTCGTTTGATGTAGTCTCTCTCTTCACTTGCAGACGCACCACGGAGGCCGTGGAGACTGTCAGAAAACGACTACAAGAAGACAGCTCCTTGGAGGACAGGACCAACTTCACACCCGATCAGATCTGCACACTGTTAGACCTCTGCCTCACCACTACATACTTCAAATACAACGAAGGCTTTTACAGACAAAAACATGGCTGTGCCATGGGCTCCCCCGTGTCACCTATTGTAGCCAACCTTTACATGGAGGAAGTGGAAAGGAAGGCTCTTGGCTCTTTCAAAGGAAGAGTACCCAGCCACTGGTACAGATATGTAGACGACACCTGGGTCAAAATCAAGACACAAGAAGTGGAATCCTTCACTGCGCACATCAACGCTGTGGATAAAAACAGAAAGTTCACCAGGAAGACACAAAGGACAACTGTCTGCCTTTCCTGGACTGCGCCGTGGACATTGAAGAGAACGGCAACCTCAACATTGAAGTTTACCAGAAGCCCACACACACGGACCAGTACCTCCTCTTTGACTCCCATCACCCTCTGGAACACAAACTTGGAGTAATTAGGACCCTACACCACCGGGCAGAACATGTTCCCTCTAAGCCTGAAGGGAAAAAGAAGGAACACACACATGTAAAGGAAGCACTCAAAACGTGCGGCTATCCTAAATGGGCGTTCTTAAAGTCAGCAAAGAGGCACAGAAAAGAAGACCAGACACCAGCGAGGGAGGATAAGAAAGACAGACGCAACAACATTGTCATCCCCCATGTAGCCGTTGTATCAGAGAAACTCAGGCGAGTTTTCTCCAAGCACAACATCCCGGTGCATTTCAGACCCAGCAACACACTCAGACAAAAACTGGTTCACCCGAAAGACAAAATGCCAAAACACAGACTTAACAATGTGGTGTATGCTGTACAGTGCAGCGAGGAATGCTCAGACCTCTACATTGGAGAGACCAAACAACCACTTCACAAGCGCATGGCACAACACAGAAGAGCCACCTCCACAGGACAAGACTCAGCAGTCCATCTGCATCTAAAGGTCAAAGGTCACTCTTTCGAGGATGCCAATGTTCACATTTTGGACAGAGAGGACAGATGGTTTGAAAGAGGAGTGAAAGAAGCATCTATGTCCACTGTGAGCGACCATCTTTGAACAGAGGCGGGGGTTTACGACACCAACTCTCTGCCATCTATAATCCAGTTTTGAGATCCCTCCCAGACGCCTTAACGCCCACTCACATCCTGGGCCATCTGACCTCAGGAATTCGCATGATAAGGTGGGGCCAGGTTTCACAATGAACGCACCCGAAACTCTGGCTGATTGTGACCCACACCCAGTTTCACACCTTGGCTCAGACGATTAGAGGATCATCAGGGGGTCCTTTTGTCCCTCTGTGGGGGTCACTCCCACTAGGTTTAAATCTGGGACTCTCCACCATTTGACCTTAGAACTGAAGAAGCTTCTCGGATGAGAGGTGAAACGTCTTCAAGTAACTTAAAGAAGTCCAGACGCTTTTCTTTGCAAGCTCCTTTGACTACGATGACCTGGATGACTGAGAACCTTCACAGACATCCTCTGTACCTGTTTAGAGTACAGGGAGGTCAAACAGGACTGTGACTCACCTATCAGACGACTGGACCGTCTCACTATCTGACTCAGTGAGTTTTTCTCTGACCGAACCAAAAGATAAAATGGACTCAATAAAAAAAATCCTCCCTCGCTGGGGTCTGGTCTTCTTTTCTGTGCCTCTTTGCTGACTTTATAAACGCCCAATTAGGATAACCGCACATTTTGAGTGCTTCCCTTACATGTGTGTGTTCCTTCTTTTTCCCTTCAGGCTTTGACAAACATGTTCTGCCTGGTGGTGTAGGGTCCAGGAAAGAAGATCAGACACCAGCGAGGGAGGATAAGAAGAACAGACGCAACAACATTGTCATCCCCTATGTAGCCGGTGTATCAGAAAAACTCAGGCGAGTTTTCTCCAAGCACAACATCCCAGTGTATTTCAGACCCAGCAACACGCTCAGACACAAACTGGTTCACCCGAAAGACAAAACTCCAAAACACAGACTTAACAATGTGGTGTATGCTGTACAGTGCAGCGAGGAATGCTCAGACCTCTACATTGGAGAGACCAAACAACCACTTCACAAGCGCATGGCACAACACAGAAGAGCCACCTCCACAGGACAAGACTCAGCAGTCCATCTGCATCTAAAGGTCAAAGGTCACTCTTTGAGGATGCCAGTGTTCACATGTTGGACAGAGAGGACAGATGGTTTGAAAGAGGAGTGAAAGCAGAATCTATGTCCACTGTGAGCGACCATCTTTGAACAGAGGCGGGGCTTACGACACCAGCTGTCTGCCATCTATAATCCAGTTTTGAGATCCCTTCCCAGACGCCTTAACGCCCACTCACATCCTGGGCCATCTGACCTCAGGACATCACATGATAAGGTGGGGCCAGGTTTCACAATGAACTCACCCGAAACTCTGGCTGATTGTGACCCACACCCAGTTTCACACCTTGGCTCAGACATTTAGAGGATCATCAGGGGTCCTTTTGTCCCTCTGTGGGGGGAAAATCCCACTAGGTTTATACCTGGGACTCTCCACCATTTGACCTTAGAACTTCTCGGATGAGAGGTGAAACGTCTTCAAGTAACTTAAAGAAGTCCAGACGCTCTTCTTTCCAAGCTCCTTTGACCACGATGACCTGGATGACTGAGAACCTTCACAGACAGCAGTGATACATCTGCTGCTGTCAGGCCTGCAGGTATCAGGTTGTTGTTCTCCTTCATCTCATAGTGGACAGAAATTATTTTTTGGAGCTGCACAAATAATTTGTGTGGCATCAGATTTGATGCAGAACAGCTGATTGTTCTGTAAATAGTTTGAAATGTTTGTTTAAACAACATCTTGAAACAGAGACTGAAAAGAGTTCATACAATGGAACGAATGACAGCAAGCTTGCAACTAAAGATGGAGATCTGCTACCAGGAACTGTGTGGCCAGATCCTGAATGAACAAGAACTTTGGAACATTACTAATATGAAGCTATAAATCTCTATACGACATGCGATCATATTAATCTTGGTCTGTTTTTGTTTCCTTTCCTGTCTTAAATGGTCTCATGACAGAGAATGTTAACATGTTGTTTGTTTGTTTATTACCCCAAAAATGACTAAATAAACATCTAAAAAACCCCAAAAAAAAACGCCTTGGCTGCATTTTTAGGTAAACAGCTGCAAAAAACTTTGTTGTTTGCATAACTCAGTAACTTTTTTGAAGAACTATATAATTAATTGCCCAACATTGGTCATTATTTACTGTATTTGCAGACAGAGTTACAGACTCTCTCCCAGACCACAGACTCAGAATACAAGTCAGAGCTTTATAAAAAGAAAAAAGAAAGTTGTGTTTTCAAAATTGGAGTTCAAGTTATTTTCCTTCCAATAGTGTTAACATACTACAGGTCATGGACAAGATTGTTTTTAATTTTCATTGTAAGTGGGATAAAGCAGTTACTTAAAAGTAGTCTAACATAAATGCTGTAATTTGATTACTTTAATAAACATGTAACTTGGATGGACGTGATGCTGGCGTGACCACAGTGGTCCAAGGAGGGAGTTTTGTGCGTTTGCTCAGACACATGAAACATTAGAGGGAACGTTGCTCCTCCCACCACTGAACAAATCCTCAGTGACTGGACCGTGGCTGGTTTCACCCTCTTTCAGTAAGCTGACAATAACATCTGCATATTTAATGATGGCCCTGTTTTCATATCTGCTCTGACACATGTTTGTATAGAGAGTGAATAATAAGGGTGATAAGACGCAGCCTTGAGGAGAACCTGTGGAGGAGAACACTGGGTCAGACAGAACCCCATTTATTCTCACTCTTTGTGACCTGTCAGTTAGAAAATCTAAAATCCAGCCCACCAGGTTCTCCCTGATTTCAAACTGTTATAAAAGTCTTTTAATTAAAATATGGGGCTGTGTTGTGTTAAAAGCTGCAGAAAAATTGATGAACTGAAGTCTTGCAGAAGTCCCTTCACTCTCTACATGTGTAAGAATCAGATTTAGTCAAAGTGCGTCCTCCACTCCTCTGTTGGGCCTGTATGCAAACTGCATTGGATCCAGCTGACCTTCAGTCTCTTCATAATCACATTTCTGATGAGTTTTTCAGAGACTTTCTGAGGTGAGGGCAAAAGGCCTGAAGTCGTTTAGAAGACTAGATTTAGGGACAGGAACCACGACAGCTTCTTCCCAAAGAGAGGACACATGCTGCACTAATGTTATCAGGACCCTGGCTCTTGTTCACATTAACTGCATGAAAGGCCTTTTGGACATCGCTGAGTTAAATGATAAAGTGCTGAGTGTCTCTCAGTTTCAGTTCCAAAATATCCTCGCTAACATCAGAAGAACTGAAACGAGCATAAAACACATTCAAGTGTTTGCAAAATCTTTGTCTGATCATCTAAAATGATCTGACTGCTGCTCTGAGGATTTTCAAACTAGGGCTGGGACGACGCGTCGACATCATCGATTACGTCGACATGTGAAGTACGTTGACCTAAAAAAAAAATGTGCGTCGATGCGTCATCACTTTCAAAACAGACACGGCGGCAGCGAGTAGCGGCAACATGAGTGAGGCAGCCGCAGCCAACTTAAATCACTCCACCCCAACACGCAGTTCTACAGTACGGGGATATTTGAGCAGAAAAGGAAGTGATGCAGGCGTTTCCCGGCTTTGTAAGGTGGAAATGGCCTATCAGAAAAGCACGACGGCTATGCACCAGCACCTCAAACGACGGCATCCAGGAGCAGCTTCTGCTTCAGACTGAAAAATTCATCGATTAGGAAAATGATGGTTTTGCCCAGCCCTATTTCAAACCCTGCTATGGTTTTCATACAAGTCCAGGCATCAGACTTCACTACAAAGAAGCTCTTCATAGACTCTTATTTCTGTCTAACAGGAACGTCTGAATGACCAACAGCAGCAGCAGATTTAAAACACCGCCCCCTAATGACACAACACAGGTACTACATGTAGATGTGAGTCTACAACACACAGCGTACGATGACCAATGCAGGATCATGCTAAGTGTTGGGTTTTGTATTGTTGATTGTCATTTATGCTTAGAAATATTTAACCATATATGCTTAGAGGTGTATAATCAATTGTGTAGTGATAGTCTGCAAACTTGTGTGTATTAGAGAGCACTCTGGGAGCACGAGAGAGGTCGTTTTATTGTAGGATTAACGTGGCTATATCTGTTTTAGGCTAAGTGCCTTTTGTTTAGATGAACTGCTGGACTTCCTCACCGTGTTATCTAGGGTGAAGCATCTAGGGTGAGACTACCCTCTTTATGACCAAGGATGTACCTTTTGTGCTTTTATGTTATATGACCCTTTGATCAGCAGTGCCACACACACACACACACAGTATTCTTTGTTCACATGTATACCTATGTAAGATGTCATATGTTAATGAACCTATGCATATTCATGTATCCTCAATAAAAGAGCAGTGTTACGGGGGAGCGGACGAGAGCAACTGGGGTCAAGCGAAGGAACGGCGTTTGTCCGGTTCTCTCCCGTGCACGAGAAACATGAAGAACTTTGCCTACTCGTGTCTTGCTTGCTGTGTAATTATATTGTCTTCAACGTTCCAGCGAATAGGTTCAAGCTACAAACCTATCACTAAGTGATCAACAGAAAATATAATTTCATTTGAGAAACAAACTAATGAGAGTCGTTTAGTGCTGTGTGTATCTGAAGAACTAAACTACTAACCTACACTCATGTTAATGAGCACATCTGGACTCACCCAGCCTTTCTGCAGTTCCTCACAACCGGAATAAGTCTACGTCGTCCCTCCAATGATGTGTTGTACTTCTTTAGGTCCAACTCATCCAGAACCTCCTCTGACATCTGCAGCATGAAGGCCAGAGCTGAGCAGTGGATCTCAGAGAGTTCCTGTTCTGATCTGTTCTCTGACTTCAGGAACTCTTGGATCTCCTGATGTACTGAGAGGTCGTTCATCTCCATCAGACAGTGGAAGATGTTGATGCTTCTGTCAGGAGAGATTTTATCATCACCATCATAATCTTCACTGTTCATCTCCTTCAGGTTGTCGATGACTCTCTGGATGGTTCCTGGACTGCTCTCTGTCTGACCCAGCAGACCTTCTAAGAGTCTCTGGTTGGACTCCAGACAGAGGCCATGAAGGAAGCGGACAAACAGGTCCAGGTGGCCATTTTTACTCTGGAGGGATTTTTCCATGGCTCTGTTCAGGAAAACATCCAGAGATTTGAAATTTCTTCCATTTCTACGACCAAACCCATCAAAATCAAAAACACCACCGAACTCTAAGTTATTCAGCTCATTCCAAGAATTGCCTGCATCATAAACATACTCCTCCTCATTCCAGTCTATGCTCAAAAAGTCCTCCAACACCTTTGTCTTCCTGTTGGTGAAACAGTGGAACATGTAGACTGCAGCCAGAAACTCCTGGATGCTCAGATGAACAAAGCAGTAGACTGGTTTCTGGAAGATCACACACTCTCTTTTGAAGATCTCTGTACAAACTCCTGAGTACACCGAGGCCTCTGTCACATCCAGACCACACTGCTCCAGGTCTTCTTGGTAGAACATGATGTTTCCTTTCTCCATATGTTCAAACGCCAGCCTCCCCAGCTTCAGAAGAACTTCCCTGTTAGCCTCCGTCAGCTCCTGTGGACTCGTCTCATGTCCCTCATGGTACTTGTTCTTCTTCCTCTTTGTCTGAACCAGCAGGAAGTGTGAGTACATGTCAGTCAGGGTCTTGGGCAGCTCTCCTCTCTGCTCTGTAGTCAACATGTGCTCCAGAACTGTAGCAGTGATCCAGCAGAAGACTGGGATACTACACATGATGTGGAGGCTCCTGGATGTCTTCATGTGGGAGATGATTCTGCTGGACAGCTCTTCATCTCTGAATCTCCTCCTGAAGTACTCCTCCTTCTGGGCGTCGGTGAAGCCTCGTACTTCTGTTAGCCTGTCAACACATTCAGGAGGAATCTGATTGGCTGCTGTAGGTCGGGAAGTTATCCAGACGAGAGCCGAGGGAAGCAGATTCCCCTGGATGAGGTTTGTCAGCAGCTGGCTGACTGATGACTTCTGTGTGACATCAGACAGCAGCTTCCTGTTGGTGAAATCCAATGAAAGTCTGCTTTCATCCAGGCCATCAAAGATGAACAAAAGCTGAGAGACAGCCAGCTTCTCTGCTGTGACCTTCTGTAATGTTGGATGGAAAACATGGAGCAGCTCCAGAAGACTGTACTGCTCATCTCTGATCAGGTTCAGCTCCCTGAATGAAAGCAGAACCACCACACTGACATGTTGGTTCTCCAAGCCCTCTGCCCAGTCCAGAGTGAACTTCTGCACTGAGAAGGTTTTTCCAACACCAGCCACGCCGTTGGTCAGAACCACTCTGATGGGTCTCTGTTGGTCAGGTAAGGCTTTAAAGATGTCCTGGCACCTGATTGGAGCGTCATGGAGGGCGTCCATCTTGGAAGCTGTCTCCAGCTGCCTCACCTCATGTTGGCTATGAACCTCTTCACTCTGTCCCTCTGTGATGTAGAGCTCAGTGTAGATGGTGTTGAGGAGAGTTCTACTTCCTGTTTCATCACTTCCTTCAGTCACACGTTCACATCTCCTCCTCAGACTGATCTTATGTTCATCTAAAACCTCCTGCAGACCAACATCTGCTGACAGAAAAACAGAAAGAAAACTCTTCAATGTCTGAACAACAAGAAGTCCAGTTTTCAGAAATGAGTCCATCAGCAGACAGATATTCAGTCTTACTTTGTACACAGCTGCTCTGACTGGCTGTCTGCAGTCCAGCTCTGGATCTGGATCTTTTTCCACACTGGGGACAGGACCAGTCTCCTGATGAAGCAGACTGGTCCCAGTATGAGGAGATGCACTGTCTGCAGAACCAGTGTCCACAGCTGGTAGAGACTGGATCCTTCAGGACGTCCTGACACAAAGCACAGCTGGACAGCTGCTCCTCCTCACAGACACCGCTCCTCTTCCTCCCCCTGTGAACACATTTCTTTATCACTAAAATCATCGACTGTCAGTGACAAACGTGCAGATTTGATGACACTGTGCAGAAGCTCTGATGGTCACAGAGAAAAGTCAAAGTGGACAAACTTGTGTTTGAGTTCAGTTCAAGCTTCCTTTGCTGTTCCTGTCTTATTAAACACAGAGTGATCAGCCTACAAACTCCACAGCAAAAGCCTTCATCACAGAGCTGATTATGTCCTTCACTGGATGTACTGGAAGATTGGAATCCATCACTTTGAACTGACCTTTGACCTCCTCTAAAAACTGTGGACGAGCAGCGGTGTCACATTCAGAGCTTTCAGCTTTATTTTGAAAGAGTTCAGTCAGCAGGAAGTGAACTTCTGGGTTCTGATTTTCTTTCTCTTATTTTACAGAAGTGAAGAAGAAGTAAAAGCTTTGAAATGATCTGAGTGAGATTTCTGAACATTGCCACCAAATTGAGTTCAGCCTCCAGCAGTAACTTTGTTTCTTGATGCCTCCTGATGATGTGATGTTTGATTACAAACCTGTTCATGTGTTAGACATGAATCACATGAACACAGGCAGAAAAAGCAGCCAATGAAACAAATGACAGAAACGTGTTCATTCACTGCCATGATCCAGATTTTCTATGTGCAGATGTTTGTAAAGAAGACGTGTGCAGCCAGGGCTGGACTGGGACAAACTCTACTTTTAAACTCTAGACTGTGAAACAGGCATAAATAAAGATTTGCTTTTTGCATGTGAGTCTGTGTTTGAGTCTTCACCGAGTGTTTGACAAATGTCACAAACACACAATTTATTAAAAACTAGCATTACACAGACCACCATTAGGAATAAACTATGATGTTGTTTATTCTATTACTCTCGTTTTCTTCTGCTTGCTTTCTTTTTTCTTTCTCAGCAGGTGATCCAGGTGATCCATAGATGCATTTTCTTTTTCTGCCCGTTCTGTTGGTTTTTGTTTTTTGCCCTTCTCCCCGTCCCTCTTCTCAGCTCTTTCTCTTTCTTTCCTCCAGCCAAGTCTGTCCCATATTCAGCAAGTGAAAATAAAATAAACAATAAAAGGTGAATCAAATGGACCATTATAGCAAGGCTGGGATGGTCAGTTTGGTAAAGTAAATCCGTTGGGCATCTTTCTTTGCCTTTAGACAACAATTCTGATGCAACAGAGCCAAACGGGACAGGCAAAAAAATAAATAAATAAATAACAGGAATAAACTATGATGTCACTGGTAGAATTACAGTCAGCAGCTCTCTTACATGGTCAGCTGAGCTCCTTGACTGAAGTTTGGAGGTCTTTCTTTGGACCAGTCACTCCTCACAGACACACAGCTGGATGCTGGAGACTGTGACCTCTGACCCCTGCAAACACATCAATTACTGATAAATTCTCTGGTTAAAATCTTTGAAGTAACTCTAAACACACAAACTGGATAATGTGAGGGTTTGTGTCAGTAATCTGAGATTAGATTACAAACAGCTGCAGAGACGTTCACAGGAAAACAAGGAGGATATGACTTTGTGTCCTTCTGTCTGCACGTTAGTACAGAAAGCAACATGTACATGTTAAAATGTCATGTCACATTTGACCTCTGACCTCTCCTTCAGTTTCAGTTCAATTCAGTTTTATTTATACAGCATTAAATCACAACAGCAGTCGCCTCAAGGCGCTTCATAGGGAGATGCTACAATAACACATACAGAGAAAAACCCAACAATCACATGACCCCCTATGAGCAAACGCTTTGGCGACAGCGGGAAAGAAAAACTCCCTTTTAACAGGAAGAAACCTCCGACAGAACCAGGCTCAGGGAGGGGCGGGGCCATGTGAGAGGAGGGCGGCAGGATAAAGACATGCTGTGGAAGAGAGACAGAGGTTAATAATAACTGCTGGTTAAACACAGAGAGACGAGTGAACACGGAGAGGGAAGAAGAGACCAAGAGGTCACAGGTTGATCTGGAGGTCAAACTGATAATAACACTATAGAGCTGTTTAAGACTCTGTTCCTTACTGCCAACATACAGACCTGTAGGGTCTAATTACCACGTTACTCTGACCTCTTCCTCGAGGTCAAATCAGGTGCTGATGGTTCTGAGTTTGGGCATGTTTGGGTTTTGTATGCCTGTTGTTGGATCATCATGTCTGCATCATGTCGTCTTCTGGTTAGAGAGTTTTATTTACGTCCCTGTGGTGATTCTGTGTCGTTCGCTCCCTGTTTGCTTAGCTGATGGGTTGGATTCCTGTTCCTGCCTGAAAATATCTGAAAACTTGATTTTGTGACCCACTAAGATTAATAAGAGTAATATTAAAAATTAAGTAGCTGCCGCCACTGTTGGAAACTGGAATTGGCTGGGCCGCGCTATGAATTCTGGGATATGGTGGGCCACGAAGGACACACCCGACCCATCCTTCAGTGAAGGACGCATTTGAAGGAGTCGACGGATTGGGACAGCCTTCGTCGCCTGGCTGTGACGTAGTCGGCCTTCAAACGCGGCCTCCGGAGGATGCAGCCGATGTTTTGGGACACAGCTTTAGTCAGTGTCAGTCATTTCCTGTTTTATTTTGACATTCTCTCATCCTGTGTGCACTGTGTTCAGTTTTGCTTCCCCTGTCTCATTAGTTTCAGCTCTGTTCCCTCATCATCCCGTGTGTGCTAATCAGTCTCTATCGGTTCTTTGTTGTGTTCCTCCTCATGATACTTTCAGTCTGGCTCATGTTTGATTAATTTTCAGGATTTCAGTAATAAAGCTGTGTTTGAGTTTTCCATCGTGTTTCCTGAGCCTTGAATTTGGGTCCTTCTCTGCCACACATGCTGACAGGATCATGAAGCCAGCAGACTCGATTCTCCTGGATTACAGGATCTAAACACAGTCAGAATAATAGCTTCCTTACATTGTTGCTGCAGGTTCATGACTGAAGTGTGGAGGTCTTTCTTTGGACCAGTCACTCCTCACAGACACACAGCTGGATGCTGGAGACTGTGACCTCTGACCCCTGCAAACACAAACATCAGTTACTGATAGATTCTGACATGAACACCATATAAACAGCTGATCGTCCATCACTCACAGATTTCTATCAGACTGTGAGCTCCTTTACAGAAATGTGACATCATCACAAACAGCTGATTGTTCTGTTGGTACCAACATGGCTGCAGCCGCCACAAATCAGCACAAACACGGATTATTGATCTGATCAGACACATTTCTGCTGTGAACAACATGTCAGATTATTCCAGTCTACATCATAACTTCTATGGCTTTAGCAGCTCTCTTACATGGTCAGCTGAGCTCCATGACTGAAGTTTGGAGGTCTTTCTTTGGACCAGTCACTCCTCACAGACACACAGCTGGATGCTGCAGACGCTGCTCCGTCCTCTTCCTCCATCTTCTTGATGTCAGGGTGGAGTTAGTCTGAGAGGTAAACACACACACTCAGAGGTGCTGTTGTACTGGAAGCATCACACTGACGGCTTTCTAATGTTGGAGCTTTGGCCCTAAAGTCCAAACCAGTTATTTTAGAGGCTCAAAGTCTTTAAAAACACCAAAACCATCACATTATTTAATAAGTACATGATGATGAAGGAACTCAGTGTGTTTGGATCATCATCATGGTGAGGAGCCCACATGTTACGGCTCCTTTGGAGAGAAGCTGAGGATCACTGCAGGAAGTGAGCTCATGAAACCAAAGTGCTGTTTGTGAGCAGGATGACTCTGTTATTGGACCTGCTCTGTGTTCTACATGTGATCAATACTTCAAATATCTGTAAACATGTCATCTTATATTTGTTGCACTTGGTCACATCTGTCTTTAAAATAGATTTTTAATGTCACTGAGTTCTTTTCTACCTTTATTGATTTATTTTGGAATAAATTAAATATAAATGTGCCAAAAACTGCCTGCAGCTTCTGCTCTGTGACAGGAAACTACTGTCAGGCTCAAAATGACTTCAGATTATTCATCACAGAGTGTTTATAGGTCACAGGACACGTTACAGTTTTACTGTCTATGTTTTAGTTTAAAAGAATGACGTGATAAGGTCTTACTGTGAATCTAAGCGCTCATTGGCTAATACCCTGAGACTGACAGGTGGTTATCCAATCAGCGTGCGGCCTCACACGGACATAAAACTCTTAAAGTTTGTTTCAGATCAGACCTGATGTTTCTGCTACAGCCTGTTTACCGATATAATCAATATCAGATATCAGAGCAACAGAAACGTCGGTGATCAGGACGCCGGGACTGAGAACAGGAAGTGGCTCAAACGTCGCACTTTCATAAAGTCAGCCTGAACTCCTCTGACGGAGTTTCTGTCGCCATTTTAGTTTTTAAAAATGCCGTGATAGGGGCGGGTCTTACTGTGAACCTGCGCGCTAATTGGCTAATAACTTCAGATTGACAGGTCGTTATCCAATGAGCGCGCGGCCTCTTCCGACATAAAGTAGTTTCCTTTGAAAAACCAAAGTCTGATTATTTTTGCCTCCACTGACGGAGCCTGTTGTTCCCGCCACAGAGACACAGTAATGTCAGAGCGGTGTTTACACTCAGCTGCCTCAGCACAGCTCTCACTCTCCTCCTGCTCTCTCACACTAAACGGAGGCTCAGCTAAACTGCGCACTTCGCTTCACTTCCTCTCTACTTACAGGAAATCAACGGAGTGGACGGAAAGTGCTGAGAGGAGCCCACCGGCCTCACGTTTCACCCACAGACATGAACAGCGTGGAATTATTTTATGTCATAAGAAGAAACATTCACGTTAACACTCACCTGCCGCAGCTCCACCTTCCTCCTCCTGCTGCTCTGAGGATCAACACTTTCACTTCTCCGCCCTAAACACAAAGGATGCTGGGACTTGTAGTTTTTAACTTAAGACTTAAAGTTTTTATCTTGTTTTTTGTGTATACTTTATTAATCCCCTGTAGGTAAATTATGCATTTAACCCATTCACTCAGTGGATAAATCTCGCCCTGATGTTCTGAGAGGCTTCCCCGACTCTCTGCAAACACTTTTTAAACCACTTTACTGAAAAGAAATTGTTTTCTTATTGTGATATTCTGGATTAGGCTCTTTGAAAAGATCAGGAGGACGTGGATATGTGCTTTATTGAACAGCAGGACATCACACACTAACTTGTTGCTTTGTTAGCGGTGCACAAGCTACCCTTTTTTGTTATGTGTTGGTCAACCAAGAACTAGCTCTGTAACAGGCACTTCTGTATTTTACCACTGGGTGGCATCAATTCACTCCATTACATTCCTCCCCTTTTAGATTTGTAATTGAAATAAGCAACCCTTTAAAGAATGTATTTCACTGCCCCCCCCCCCCAAAAAAAAGAAATATTCTGTGGCCCTTAAATGAACATTTTTTTGAATTATTTGAATATATATGAGTGCTTGTGTATAAATATGGTAAATGGCCTGTATTTGTATAGCGCTTTACTAGTCCCTAAAGACCCCAAGGCGCTTTACACATCCAGTCATCCACCCATTCACACACACATTCACACACTAATACACAAACAACACACACATGCTTTCAATTGTGTAATTTAAATGATCTAGGTAGCTCTGTTTTGAAGTTCAGTTAACGCTAGAAATGTGTTTTGGAGTTTGTACGTGTTTTGTCTCTAGGGGCCACCACATATATTTACATATAAACATATATAAATAAAACCACTTTTTTTTACTTTAGTAATTCCTTTTGTGCATAATTTTATATTATTGTTAATAATAAATCAATTAAAGCAACAAAACAACCTGAAGAGCCGGTTCGGAGCTGAAAGAGCCGGTTCTCTACAAAGAGCCGGAAATCCCATCACTACAACTTAGGCTACGTTCACACTGCAGGCGAAAGCGCATCAAATCCGATTTTTTTGACCCTGTGCGACTCATATCCGATCATGGTGTGAAAGTGTGAACGGCACAAATGCGATATTTTCAAATCCGATTGGGGTCACTTTCGTATGTGGTGCTGAATCCAATACATATCCGATGTTTCAGAAAGCGACCGCTGTTTGGATGGTTTTTGGTTTTTTGGGTGGGTTTTCAAATATTAAACTTTATTAAGAAACAGTATGTAGAAAACAAATGGAAAGAACAAACACAGAGATAGAATAAATGTATAACCGCAGATTTTGGATTTGGCTCTGTTAGTGTTCTTATACTTTTTTAAATTGTTTTTTATTATTTATGATTGAATTTGATCCTGCTGGGTTGTCTTAGCTTTAAAATCGGTCTTACTTTATTTTGAATTATTATTTTGCCTTTTCTAACATGTTGCATCACTCACTGTTATATTTTCTGGTTTTCTTTTTTATCATTTGCTTATTTATTTTATTTTCAATACATTTCAAACAAAATATTTTTTGCTGCACTTACTAGTATTTACATTTTTAATACATTTCCCTTTGTGTCATTAAGGTAGCGTTTGTTCGTTTTGACCCTCGTGGGCAGCCGTACGGCAGGATCAAAGATCGTCTATATTCGTGAAGACTCGTGTCTGCTGTGACGTGGTCCTGGAGCGTCGGCCTGTGTTCGGCAGACGTCGTTGGAGCGATCAGCTGATCCTGGAGCATGCGCAGAGTGAGCGCTCGCCTCCCTCCCAGAAAAGCCTGGTTCGCGTAAACAACAGCAGACAGCTGCCGCCGCGGAGCTTTACCGCAGTTTTACCGGCTCTCGGATCGAGCTGCTGGTCGCCGTCGGGTCCTGTGACAGTGAGCTACCTGTCAGAGCAGCTGTGCTCACCTGCAGCTGTTAGCTGCTGACGTCAGCCCGGTGGCGTCATTTCTCTGATTAAGTGTCGTGTTTGAGGCTGTTGTGTCGTAAATCCGCCGGGAGCAGAGTTTGGAGCAGCTGAAGACACACCACAGGTTTGTGCTGAAGTCACCGAGACCTCTGAACTGTCATTTGACCTCTGAACTGTCGTTTGACCTCTGAACTGTCGTTTGACCTCTGGACTTTATACAAGGAGGCTGCTGTGTGGATCCTACATTTCCCTTCATGCAGCTGGAGCTGTGTGTGACAGGAGTGAGTGATTTATGATGACTAACCTCAGCTTTAACTCAAAGTCAGGAAACAGATTATTACAGCTGCACTTCCTGTAGTGATCGCTGGCCACCATCAGGGGGCGGAGCTTCACTGAAACGCTTCCAGATGTGAGCAGCTGCTGTCCTCTGACCCGGTCCAGGGGTTTTAAAAAGGTCTTCGTGGACCTGAGATGCTGACGTCACAGTTTTTATCTTGTATCCTCTCAGAGACGATGGCAGAGCAGAACTTGGAGGCCAAGCTGAAGAACCTCCTGAAGCAGGAGAAGATCCAGCTGTGGAACCCGCCGTACACCGAGCAGGGCCAGCAGCAGGGCCAGCAGCAGGGCCAGCAGCAGGGCCAGCAGCACATGCAGGTGGGTGACCCGCCTGAGGAGGTGTGGCCACACACACCTTCCTACTGAGATCAAAGTATGAGGATATAACGTTCAGCCAGGTCTATGAAGGTCACTTTGTGACGCTGTTTAACAAATTAATCATTCACATGAATCCAATAAAATAATAAATCTGCTAAAACAAAAAAAATAAAACCATCATTAAAGAGTTCAGTTTTTCTTTCCTGTCAGAGGAAACCTCAGTTAAACAACTTACTGACCCAGTGAAACAGATTATAGAGGAAACACATGAGAGCAGGGCGCTTCTAGGATCAGAGCTTTGGGGTGCTGAGCATGCAGAGAGCTGCCCATCCAGCCAAGATACACTTTACTCGTCACGATGAGACGTCTTCCCCGTCTCTGTCAGTCCCTGCATCCTTAAATGTCTCCAGTTGTCCCGAGTTGTCTCTGACTGTCTCCTTGGTGCATTTAAGCCCCTGTTCCTCCCAGTTTTGAGATCCTTCCCAGACGCCTTAACGCCCACTCACATCCTGGGCCATCTGACCTCAGGAAGTCACATGATAGGGTGGGACCAGGTTTCACAATGAACTCACCCGAAACTCTGGCTGATTGGGACCCACACCCAGTTTCACACCTTGGCTCAGGCGATTAGAGGATCATCAGGGGTCCTTTTGTCCCCCCAGAGCAGGGGGAGGGGCTATCTATACTTTTGTTGTTAAATGTTGTCAATTAAGTACTGCATGCTTTTTATATTTTTAGTAGTGTCACACAAACAGCCAATATTGTCAAAAACAGAAATCTTTGGGGCTGCTGAAGCACCCAGGCGGGTTTGGGGGAAGTGCCCCCAAAAAGGGGCTAAAATCGCCCCTGGATGAGGACTGACTGATTCTGTTTCACTGAGATTCAAGCATCAGTGAGGTTTTTGTCTCAGCGTCACAGCAAAGTTCAGCCCATGTGCAGCGCCGTTGGATTCTGTTCTGAGCGCGCTCAGTGCTGTTCTTCTTCCATCAGGAGCTGGCGGAGCGCTACGCCCCCCTGCTGCGCCTGCCCATGTCGGAGGTAGGGGGCGCTCTGGAGTCGATCCGAGCTCAGGCGGTGAAGCGAGGCAGAGGAAACCAAACGTTCAGGGAGACGAGCGTGGCGACGCTGGAGCTGCTGCTGCCGCGAGACGCCAAGAAGGTAACGAAGGCGGCGAGGACAGAGGAAGCTACCTGACGGTGTACCTCACGCCACACACTCATCACATGACACACACCGACCCACAATGCTTTGCTCTCCTGTGACGGAGGAGAATGACCTCAGTGTTTGCTTCCAGGATCCAAAGGTCAGGACGTACCTGGAGACGAGGCTGGACGTGTCGGCGCAGCAGGTGGTGGACAGGTACTCGATTACATCGCAGGCTGAGTGTGTGTGTGTGTGTGGCTATGGAAACTGATAAGATTTTAGCCAATCAGATTCTATTATTGATATCTCTAATTGATTCAGATGTTCATCGATTGCCATTGGCTGCGATGTGAGAGTCACCTCCATCGCTAAGCAACAATAAAGACGTCACACTGATACATATTAATTACATTAATTATGTTTACTAAGCACGGTGGTTAGCACTGTTGCCGCACAGCAAGAAGGTCCTGAGCTCAGTGCCACCACCAGGCCGGGGTCTTTCTGTGTGGAGTTTGCATGTTCTCCCCGTGTCTGCGTGGGTTCCCTCCGGGTACTCCGGCTTCCTCCCACCGTCCAAAGACATGCAGCTTGTGGGGATAGGTTAATTGGATAATCCAAATTGCCACTAGGTGTGAATGTGGGAGTGAATGTGAGTGTGAATGGTTGTCTGTCCTGTGTGTTGGCCCTGCGACAGACTGGCGACCTGTCCAGGGTGTACCCTGCCTCTCGCCCTATGACAGCTGGGATAGGCTCCAGCGCCCCCCGCGACCCTGAAAAGGATAAGCAGAAGTGAATGGATGGATGTATGAAATATGAAAGGTTTTCATTATGTGTCCAAGGCATTCAACTGTTTCACACTCTTCAGCAGAGAGAGCCTTTTTCTTTCCCATGTTGCTTGTAAGTGGTGGTGTGCTTAATAATGTGGCGCATGCTTCTTCAGTAGAAAAGGAATGATCACAGGTGTCTGAGGCTGATGTCGGTGATCCAAACAGCTCTGAGACTCAATGCCAACCATGAGTTTGATTGAAAAACAACACATTTAATCTTTGTGACACTTAAATACAATTTTATTAATAATTTGGAACGTGGTGTAAAAGTAATGCAATACTTAATTACTCCTGGGAAAAGGTAACTAGTTACACTACTCGTTGCATTACTTTCATGTTACCATGTAAAACAGCTGCAGCTCACTGTCTCATAATCACTGTTTAAACCTGAGGCACCAACACACCTGTAATGAGGACACACACCTCCAACATAGCACAAAGCCGACCGCACAAATCAAAGATGAAGACACACAAAAAATGGTTGCCACGGTGATTCGACTGTAGAAACAGGAACAGGTAGTAACGAGGCTGCAGCCTGACTGCTCATCAGTTTGTTACCTGTTGAAGTTCAGGCTCTGGCTGCTGAGCCGAGGGGTGGAGTCTGCACACGCTCAGCTTTCACTCTGGGCTAGCTTAGCGTTAGCATGCTGTCAGTGCAGATGTAAAGAAGTGAGGTTGTGTTAGCAGCACTGTGAGTGTTTCTGTCCTGGATGCACGTTTCACTTATTTACATTTACATTCATCTTCTTCTTTTGTGCAATAAAAAATACATTTGGACACACACGGTCACTGTTTTCCTCCTCTGACATCCAAGCTGGAATCAGCTGATCGTAGTGTGAGGACAAGAAGTGGGATCAACAGGCAGGCGGACAAATGATTCCAAGCAGCTGGAAAACTGGGAAGCAGAAGAACCAGTTCTCCATTCAATACTGTAGTAAAGTGTGTGTGTGTGCGTGCAGGGTCGCTGAGGAGCACGGCCTCAGGAGCATCAAGCTGATCCTGAGTGGGAGGACTCTGTCTGCAGGTCAGTGACCTCACAGCTGCAGTAGTCATGTGATCTGTCAGAGCTGAGCGTGTGTGTGTGTGCAGAGCGGCGTCTGGACGAGCAGGGCGTGAAGAACCACAGCAAGGTGATGGTGCTGAGGGTGAGCGACGGCGAGCTGAAGCAGCAGCTGACGGAGGAGGAGGAGGAGAGGAGGAGCCAGGAGGAGAGCGTCCAGAGGACCCAGAAAGGCTTCCAGATCCTGTCAGAGAGAGGTGAGGAAACAACCACGCCTCCAACACACCTTTGTTCAGCCCACAGGTGACCACAGCAGGGTGGTGTCCCAGGCTAACAGGTGACTATGTGGGCGTGGCAGTGGGAGGGGCACAGCTGTTTGTTTTTAAATGTCTGCTCCTCTCCATCAGACGGCAGCGAGGACCCAGACACCACACCGTTCCTGGAGATCGCCGACCAGAAAGGAAACCCTCTGAAGATTCCCCCCACGGAGAAGAAGGTGGAGTTTGAGATAGGACGCAGTGTGGAGGTCGGCACCAGGGGGCGCTGCTGTGTAACCTCTGTGTGTGTGTGTGTGCAGGCTCTGATCCTGGCCATGGGCTTCCATGAGAAAGGTCGCGCTCTGATGAAGAGGAAGCAGCACGATAACGCTCTGTGTCACCTGCTGCAGGCCGACCAGCAGTTCAGGTACGAGCGAGCTGATTGGCTCTGAGCCGCGTCACAGCTCACCACGAGTTTATCAGCCTTCAGCCTGAGATCAGATACTCTTCATCCACCGTCACTGTAAACGTCTGAAACTGTGTTCATGAGACAGGAAGTCCCTGTGTGTGAGCGCAACGTGCACCAGCTTTTCAAAATAAACCTCCAGAGTGAGGAGGTTTTCCAGCACATCCAGCGTGCTGTGTGTCATTAATGAGGGTTAAAGTCCTGTGTGTGTGCGTGCGTGCAGGAAGTGCGGCTCGGCGCTGCTCAGCTCCGTGGATAACTACGCCGTGCTGCAGCTGGACATCGTGTGGTGTTACCGCGCTCTGGAGGCGCTGTCCTGCCTGGAGGATGGGCGGAGCCGCCTGCAGAGAGCCGAGGACTGTTTCCTGCGTTGCTACGGAGAACAGCAGGAGAGACTGCTGATGATCAAGGTCAGACTCTCTCACACACACACACACACACACTGTGTGTTGATGCTGAGGGTGAAACCATCATCAGGGAACGTGTTCATGTTTGTGACCAACATGAGGGAATAAACTTTCTGGTTTGTATTTGGAGTCCATATTTGTAGTCCATTTCCTGTAGTCTGAGAATCATTGACCAATCAGGTTTGAGCAGGCTGAGTGGGGGTGAAGACAGACTGCACTCTGATTGGTCAGCTTCTTAGACGATGCTGAGAGTGAGCATGTATGTGACACATTGAGTCTCAGTGGGACGACCTGTGTAAATAAAGTTTTAATGTTAATGTTGTAAACAATGTGAAGCTGAACAGTCTCACTGCAGATGTCCACTGTTTACTTCTTACTGGGATGTATCACCATGGTAACACATGCTGATGAGCTATGCTTAAGTTATTGCAGTGAATCTGTAACCTTCAGCCTGTCATTGACTTAATGTGTGTGTTGCCAGGGTAACACGGGCAGAGAGGAGGTGCTGTTCCTGCGTCTGTACCTCCTGCAGAGCCTCCTCTCCTACATCGAAGGAAGCGACTCTGAGGCGCGGCTGCAGCTCTCCAGGGTGAGACTCGGCTTAGCATGAGTGACAGTCCACAATAATCCAGCTGTGTGTGAGTGGCTCACTGAGCTGCTGTGTGTGTCAGGTGGAGTCTCTGTACGCGCGCCTGCGTCCCGACTCGGAGAAGATGGCTCAGCTGATGGAGCTGGGCTTCAGCGAGAGAGAAGCTCGGCTCGGCCTCAGAGCCTCCCGGGGCGACCTGCAGGAGGCCGCCATCCACATCAGCACCCGCCGACAGGTAACACCTGACAGGAAGTCAGTTCACCGCCTGTCGTCGTCCCGTTTGAGTGTTTAATAAAGTTTTATCTCTATTTATCAGGAGCGGGAGGAGCTGAAGCAGAGGGAGAGACAGAAGAGGAGGACGAGGATGGAGGCCATCTCCGCCCTGATGGAGCTGGGGTTCTCCCAGAGAGACGCCGCCCGCGCCCTGCACCACGCCGACGGGAACGTAGACAGAGCTTACGCTGTCAGTGGCCCCGCCTCCTCGTACAGGTCTCACAGGTGGAGCCGTGACTGACTCCATGTTCTCCTCTGTGCCATCCCCAGATCCTGCTGGACTCGAGCCAGGATGCCCAGGCGACCAATAACAACACAGAGGGCGGAGCTAGCCCAGAGATGGTGGAGCAGGTACGCTCAGAGGTCACGTTCAACATTCAAACTTTATTGAACAGTGACAAGACGAGCAGAGGAAAGCTGGGGGCGGGGCTTCTCTCTGTTCTCCTATAGCTATGTCTCCTCCAGCTGTTCTCTTTCCTTCCCTCCAGCTGTTCTCCTCCAGCTGTTCTCTTTCTGTCCCTCCAGCTGTTCTCCTCCAGCTGTTCTCTTTCTGTCCCTCCAGCTGTTCTCCTCCAGCTGTTCTCCTCCAGCTGTTCTCTTTCTGTCCCTCCAGCTGTTCTCCTCCAGCTGTTCTCCTCCAGCTGTCTCCTCCAGCTGTTCTCTTTCCTTCCCTCCAGCTGTTCTCTTTCTGTCCCTCCAGCTGTTCTCCTCCAGCTGTTCTCCTCCAGTCCCTCCAGCTGCTCTCCTCCAGCTGTTCTCTTCCAGCTGTTCTCCTCCAGCTGTTCTCTTTCTGTCCCTCCAGCTGCTCTCCTCCAGCTGTTCTCCTCCAGTCCCTCCAGCTGTTCTCCTCCAGCTGTTCTCTTTCTGTCCCTCCAGCTGTTCTCCTCCAGCTGTTCTCTTTCTGTCCCTCCAGCTGTTGTATTTGGGATTCGAGCGGGATTCGGCTGAAGCGGCGCTCAGACTGACAGGTGGAGACGTCCAATCAGCGACACAGCTGCTGTTGGACAACCAGGGCGTCCTCTCCCCGGAGCTGCTGACCCCGCCCTCCACATCCTCCTCCTCCTCTACACCATCCTCAGAGGAGCCCAGCTCCGCCTCCAGCTCGCCAGGTAACAGAACCGCCCTTCGTTTATCCAGCATAAACAAAACAAAGTTACAGAACAGGAAGTGTCGATGTTTGAACGAGGCAGATTTCAGCAGATCTCATCCTTTGTAAGGACCTGAGCTGCCAGATTAGACCTTTCGTCTTCCTCAGTCTCTGTGACTCGTTTTACCTGACGAGCATGGAAACTTCTACAGACGTCTCTTTGCTTTTCTCTGAAACTGAGAGCTCACAGGGTGAAACTCATTTAGAGCAGGTTCATCTTCATCTCATCAGTCACTGTGAAAACATGCTAACCAAACCAGCCAATGGGGCTTCAGTGAGGACGGTCATGTGGTTTAGAAACCCATCATCGTCCAATAGAAAGCCTGAGTGACCCGACGAGCTGAGGAATGTACCTCAGAGGTGTAGTTGTGATTTCACACAGACTGTCAGTCGGAGATTAAATGTTTAAAATAGAATCAATAAAAACCCTTAAAGACAAAAACAGAAAAGAAAAAAGTCACATGATCTAAAGTCTGCTTGTGTGACCCTCCAGAGGACAGCGAGCTGGTGAGCGAGGTGCTCGAGGACATCGCCCCCCACGAGGAGGACTACCTGGACCTCACGCTGGAGGAGGAGAGCGAGCTCATCTCTGCCATGAAGGCGTACCTGCACCGTGAGCCCGCCCACACCTAGTGACACGCTCGGGCCGGGTCGAGTGTTGTCGCTGTGTAGAACAAACACGCACACACACAGATCGTCCTGCAGTCGGGGAGTTCAGAGCGGCGTGCCAATGTGGAGACAGTGACGATCATCTGTTCAGCAATAATTCAGAGTCCTGCCGCTCAAACCGCACAGGTGTATCAGTTTAATCAGTGACATCATCAATGACATCATTGTTGGTGATGTTGGATCAAAGCGGAGTCTCAGTTTGTGTCTGAGCGGTTTCCTGTTGATTCTTTGGTTGTGATGGAGCCAATAAAGACGACACAAAGTGTTTCTGTCTGTCTGTCTGAAAACACAAAAACACAAAAGCAAAAACACCAGGTCAGTGAGAAGAACAGAGACTGAAGCTGATTGGTGGTGGAGGAGGTGTAGCATGGGGGTTAGGGTGGTGCATCAACAGACTCAGTCTTCACTCTGAGTCTCACTCTGCACTTCAGGCTCGAACCCTCAGAACCTTCCAGAAGAACTGTGAGACAAAGCTGAGTCTGAGCAGGAAAGGCTGCTACAGTGGCTTACAAAAGCTTTTCCACATTTTGTCACATTACAGCCACAAACATGAATCAATGTTATTGGAATTCCAGGTGAAAGACCAACACAAAGTGGTGCACACGTGAGAAGTGGAACGAGAATCATACATGATTCCCAGTGTTGGGAAGGTTACTTTTAAAATGTATTCCGTTACAGAATACATGCCCCAAAATGTATTCTGTAACGTATTCCGTTACGTTACTCAATGACAGTAACGTATTCTGAATACTTTAGATTACTTAATATATTATCGTGCTTTTTACAACAACGTGAATGTACTATTGCTGTGATTTATTACTATTACTGAAGGTCTGCGGCTCCGAACTGTAGTAAAGGGACCTCTGACTAATACGGCGGGGTCCCTGTCGGCTCGTAGCCGAAAAATAGCTTTACTTTGTTGTGTGGGTCAACTTTTCTTGCGAGAGACAGAGAGAGGCGTTGAAAGGCTGCTCCAACGGAGCTTATTGTTTTCGGAGGAAAACACGAACACGGTGTACAGTCGAGTCTTAATAGCTTACTTACAACTGGGCTCGTCAGGCTCTCTTCTTGGCTGAAGTGGTTATTATTATATTTACATGCTTCCAGCTCCCGTTTTTCCTCGGTGACAACTCGTACCTTTCCACTCCCCTTTTTCTCCCTCCTCGCGCTCACAGACCCATAACGTGTATGGCAGTTGTTACGACCCGTCTAGGGCCAGGCCATAACATGAGCGAGGCACTCGCTTCCCCCCCAAGACCCAAGCAGTCACACGCAACAAATCCGTTAGATGTGAAGTGATTTATTTACAATGTGAATAAAGAGAACCAAAACGGGAGTGTCAACACTTCAGGGTGAGCCAAGGCCAAAACAAGAAACAAAACAAACCTACACAAATCCCGCACCCCTGACCTCACCAAAATAAAGTCAAAATAAAGACAGAGTCTGACCTCCTTAACCAACTCAAAACAGGAGAAAACGGGTGATCAAAATAAACGGCAGCTCACCCCTACCCACTCCACTTCTACAATTCTCGCACGTATACTGCTGCCAGCGGCTACCACAGGACTACTGCTGGGTGATGAGGAGAAATGCGAGGACCTCTCCCGCTGTAGCACTCCAGCCTCCTTTTATTGGGCGGGTCCTCCAGCTGGATCCAATCACGCCGGGGCAGTAAGTCCACACACCAATCGGAACAGGGCCCTGGCACAGCTAAATTAACATAGACAAAAACACAGCACCTGCACAAACAAACACACGGACATACAAGTTCGTAACACAGTCCATTCTCCCTGCAGCACGGACTACACTGCCCATGATGCTACATTCTTTAGAGCTATGCTTGTAGCATTCTGCCTGTTAGCTTAGCACAACAACAACAACGAAAAGGCGCTCTCTCACCCAGGAAACACACAGTCGCAGAGAGAGAGAGAGCGTCGCCCTGTAACCATGGCAACCGTAACGCTGCCGCCTGGAACAACAGAACGTAGCTGTCAAACAAAACCCAAACAGTCCTGACCCACGACCAGAGATGGGCAGTAACGCGTTACTTGTAACGCGTTACTGTAATCTGATTACTTTTTTCAAGTAACGAGTAAAGTAAGGGATTACTATTGCAAAATCGGTAATTAGATTACCGTTACTTTCCCGTAGGAACGCTGCGTTACTGCGTTACTAAAACCGTGATTTTTTTTGCGAGAATGTCTCATGACAGTGACGTAAGCAAGTGCGACGTTGGTGACAGTAGCTGTGTGCAGATCAACAATGGATAATATATCGAGTGCGGGAGAGAGTATGAGCGTGCAGCGTTTAAAGCGTGGAAGTACTGACCTTACTTTGAGTTTGATTCCATAAAAAGTGACAAAAACATTCGTGTCCGCTGTGCGTGGGAAGAAAACTTCTTTTTACAGCGAAAAAAAACCCTAAACTTCCGAGCAAGCACCGAGTAGCTACGACGTAATGGGAAACTCACAGAGACACTCGCGCGGATTCTTCAACTGACCGCAGCACACCTGCACCAGGGTAAACCTCCGCCTACCCTGCTCCTGCTTTACAGGTGAAAATAGAGCAAAAGGACCGCTGAGTCTTTGACTTTATTTATTTTCTGCTGTGTTTTACTTGCATCTGTTTGAAAGAGTGAGTGTAAACACAAAAAATATTTTATTTTATGTGCTGGAATGTGTAGAAAATAGGTTTAAATGTTAAACTAATTTATTCAAGTCAGAGAATGTTGCATATAATTAAATTTTTGCTTGATGCAAAAAGTTAAAAGATTAAAACTAATAAAACAAGTTAAAAAAAGAGACTTTTCCATTTGATTACATTTTGTATGATGGATTATGCAGAAAAGTAGAATTGGGCTGAAAGATCTATCACTTTATCAGCTCTTCAGGTTGTAAATCGTGTTTTTAAAAAGTAACTAAGTAACTAATTACTTTCGAAAATAAGTAATCAGTAAAGTAATAGGATTATTTTTATGGGGGAGTAATCAGTAATTAGTTACTGATTACTTTTTTCAAGTAACTTGACCAACACTGCCCGCGACAACATGAAACAGGAAAGTACTGCAGTGTAATCCATTTATTTCAACAAAGTAACTGTATTCTGAATACCACCTTTTTAAACGGTAACTGTAATGGAATACAGTTACTCATATCTTGTCTTTGAAATACGTAACGGCGGTACATGTATTCCGTTACTCCCCAACACTGATGATTCCAAACATGTTTTTCAAATAAATAACTGCAAAGTGGGGTGTGTGTAATTATTCAGCTCTGAGTCAATACTTTGTAGAACCAGCTTTTGCTGCAGTTCCAGCTGCCAGTCTTTTAGGGTCTGTCTCTACCAGCTTTGCACATCTACAGACTGAAATCTTTGCCCATTCTTCTTTGAAACAGCTCCAGCTCAGTCAGATTAGATGCACAGCGTTTGTGAACAGCAGTTTTCAGATCTTGCCACAGATTCTCGACTGGATTTAGATCTGGACTTTGACTGGGCCAGTCTAACACATGGATATGTTTGGTTGTAAACCATCCCATTGTTGCCCTGGCTTTATGTTTAGGGTCGTTGTCCTGCTGGAAGGTGAAGCTCCGCCCCAGTCTCAAGTCTTTTGCAGACTCCAAGAGGTTTTCTTCCAAGACTGCCCTGTATTTGGCTCCATCCATCTTCCCATCAACTCTGACCAGCTTCCCTGTCCCAGATGAAGAGAAGCCCCCCCAGAGCATGATGCTGCCACCACCATATCTGACAGTGGGGATGGTGTGTTCAGAGTGATGAGCAGTGTTAGTTTTCCGCCACACATAGCGTTTTGCATTTTGGTCTCATCTGACCAGAGCAGCTTCTTCCACATGTTTGCTGTGTCCCCCACATGGCTTGTGGCAAACTGCAAACGGGACTTCTTCTGGTTTTCTGTTAACAATGGCTTTCTTCTTGCCACTCTTCCATAAAGGCCAACTTTGTGCAGCGCACAACTAATAGTTGTCCTATGGACAGATTCCCCCACCTGAGCTGTAGATCTCTGCAGCTCGTCCAGAGTCACCATGGGCCTCTCGGCTGCATTTCTGATCAGCGCTCTCCTTGTTCGGCCTTGTTCGATTACACACAGGTGCACTCTATTTAGTCATTAGCACTCATCAGGCAACGTCTATGGGCAACTGACTGCACTCAGACCAAAGGGGCTGAATAATTACGCACACCCCACTTTGTAGTTATTTATTTGTAAAAAATGTTGGAATCATGTATGATTTTGGTTCCACTTCTCACGTGTGCACCACTTTGTGTTGGTCTTTCACCTGGAATTCCAATAACATTGATTCATGTTTGTGGCTGTAATGTGACGTAATGTGGGAAAGTTCAAGGGGGCCGAATACTTTTGCAACCACTGTAACTCTAATACTGATTAATATATTCCTGCGCTGTATGAGCCCCTCCTGGATGGCCAAACTCCTCCATAAAGATTATGAACAGAATCAGTGACAAAGTGCAGCCTTGGTGGGGTCCATAACCCACCGGGAGCGAGTCTGACTTATTGCCAGCTATGTGGACCAAGCTCTTGCAGCAGTTGTGTAAGGTTCAGATAGCCTGTAGCAAAGACTCCCCATACTCCTGCAGCACCTCCTACAGAACACCATGAGGGACACGGTCGAGTGCCTTCTCCAAGTCCACAAAATACATGCAGACTGGTTGGACAATTTCCCATGCTCCCTCAGGTATCCTTGACAGGATAGAGAGCTGGTCTAGTGTTCCACGACCAGGATGGAAATTGCATTGTTCCTCCTGTATCCGAGGTTCGACTAACGAACAGACGCTCCTTTCCTCCAAATCACGCCCCTCCAAGTCACACTGTCATTGCCCGAGTGTTGAAGTCTCCCAGTAAGACGAGTCCCGAGGTGGAGCACCCTCAAGCACCACACCCAAGGACTTCAGGAAGGCCGGGTACTCTGAACTGATGCTAAGTGCAGACAATCTGGATCTACTTCTAATTGGTGATTTTTGAATCACTCTTGTCTGGTCCCTCACCAAGGACTGATTTGCCACAGGAGACCCTACCAGAGTGCAAAAGCCCCCCAACAACACAGGATCCCTGGGACACACAAACCTTCCACCACGATGAGGTAGCGATTCATGGAGGGGCCTCTGAGTACTAACTTGATGTAAATTCTCCAGGAATATAACCTAGAGCCAAAAAGTGCTTTAAAGATCGATGCATTCACGCAGCTCATAATTAGACCAACTTATTATTCCTTCACATGTCCTGTTACTCCTTATATCTAAATGATTGATGGTTGAAAAATCCTAGTCTAAGGATCTTGGAGAGAAAAGCATCTGGACTTTAAGTTTCTTGAAGACTTTTGGCCTCTCATCTGAGAACGTCTTCAGTTCTAAGAGCAACTGGTAGAGAGTCCAGATTTATAAGCCCTATGGGAGTGTCCCTAAGAGGGTCAGTAGTGGGTCCATGACCCTCTTAGGGACACTCCCATAGGGCTTAAAATTCTGGGATTCTCTGCCAAGCTCCTTAGATTACTCTGACCTGGATGACTGCAAACCTTCACAGACATATTTAAAGGTCCTGGACTCTTCTAACCCTCTAACACTTAGTGCATCATATGAATACATGAATTTTTGTGAGTCTTTTATATCATCAGTGGGATTCACCACAATACATCTTTAAAACTTTGTCAGAAGTTTCAATTAACTCTCCACCTGTCAGAAACAGATATTTTCTGTTATCTGTATTAATCCAGATTATAATTTCTTTTGTCACAGCAGGAATGAAAACCTGTTTATGTGATGGTGTCGGTGTGGCCACACAAATCAACACACACACAGACTGTTTGATAAAAAACCTGCTTTCTTATTTTAGTCCGAGTTTATTTATCGTACATGATTACAGTCACAGGTGAGGGGGGCTGGTCAGGGTTGGGGGTCAGAGGTCAGAGGGGTTTAGAAGTAGTTGACGACTCTGCGGATGGACTGGATGTTGGGGTTCTGGGCCTGCCACTCGTTATGGCTGCAGTAGTCTCCACGCTCAACAATGTACATGCGGCCACGGAAGTTTGGCTCCTCGTACATCACCCAGCTGGAGGTGGAGCAAGGAGGGAAGAGAGGCGGGGTTAAAGTGAGGAACATGCTTTTATTAACCTGTCACACTTTTGTTAAGGAGGATTCAGAATGATGTTTAAATATATTCCGCCTTAAAACATCTTTAGACTTTTTTCTATTATGTTAAGTCATGCTAACACATCCAACCTTAGGTTGTTAGCATGCTAACATTAGCACTAAATAGAAAAATTAAGCTGAGGATGAAAAACAGTTCTACTGGTCTCCAGGTGAGAAGTCTAATAATAAGATAAGCCTGGTGGGGTTCATCCTCAGGGGGACATGAGCGTGAAAAATCCTGAAAGCTAAAGTTTGAACTCAATCAATCAAATCAATCATCAGCCAAAACTTCCAAGAACAAGAACATTACTGTGTCACATTTCATCATCTGGGGATAATAAATAATGAGCCCCACAGTCTAAGCTGCCAGCAGCAATAAAGTCTACAGAGTTCATCCTCTGCAGAGCAGGAATATGTCAACAACAGACCTTTACTTTGAATGTGAATGATAAATATTTCCTGTTAGCATGTTAGGAATATTGTCCTAATACTAATCTCAGGTTAAAGGTCACCAAAGTCTATCCCCTGGGGAGTAGGAACATCAGCGTTAAGGTTTCTGGTAAAGGAGAAACTCACGCTCCGTCTCCGTAGACCTTCACAGAGTTGATGCAGTTCTTGGAGAAGCCGCGGCTCTGCAGGAAGGGGCAGTCGTCGCAGATGTCCACACACTGACCGGAGAAGTTACAGCCCTCGAACAGCTCGATGCGGTAGTGCTCGCCATGCTGCCGGACAGACGGACACGATTAGGTCAGAATCCAACAACAAAACCTACATCACAGACCGGATGGAGCAGCTGTAGCTTCAGGATGAAGGTGCTTCACCCCAAAGCAAGAAAAGATGGTTTCCCCTCAGTGGAAAAGACTCACAGAGTCAGTCTTTCACTAACACATGAAAAACAAACTGACATTTTTAAAAGTGTGAATTAAAAAGAAGATGAAATTGTGTTTCCTAACAGCAGTAAAATCTCAGATCTGTCAGATCACCTCATCCGTGCTCTTTAAACAATCACGACTCCGTCAGAGGTGCTCACCATGCGGATGGGTTTGCAGGATCCCATGTGGTCGTTGTGGGAGTTCCACCTCTGGAATTCTGGGTACTCGCCGTGCTCCAGGATGTACTGCTGGCCCTTGAAGTCAGGGTGGTCGTAGCAGATCCAGGCTCCGCTCTCCACACGGATCGAGTTCACCCTGAAGAGACAAAGACAGGCTCCAGATGTTACCCTGCAGAGGTGCTCAGTCACATGTTGAAACCATCAGCAGGTTTAACTGGTCAGAACTTTTTCATCCTCCGTCCCAGCACGATCATCTGCTGCTCAGACGCAGTCATGGAGTTCAGGTGATGATCAGCTGAAGGAAACAGGAAGCACTTACACCAAGAACTCCAGTTTATCCTGACCATGATGATGATGATGTCGGCCTCGTGCGCTCCTCTGATGAAGAGCGGCTGAATGTTTGATAAGGTCAGAAAAAAAAGTGCTGAATATGGTTTCTGTGTGGACGGACTTCAGTCTGAGTTTGTGCTGTTAGTGAAAACTGTTGGTCATCAAATTCACATCTTTGAGTTTGCAGAACGTCAGATCTTTGATATGTGTTTCTATTTGTCACTAAAAAGGAAACGTTTAGACTTCCTGTACGGCCAGAAATCACAAAGCTTCTGTTCTTCTGTGTTTTCATTGATGTCATTAGAAAAATCTTAAGAGTAACTGAAACACTGACCTCGTATCAGTATTCAGAGGCTCGTCAGAAATATCAGCTCTCGCCTGAATTTCAGAAGCTGAAAGCAGAAACAGTTTCGTCCACACGGTTTGAATATAAATGTGACCACCAGGGGGCAGCGATTCCACACATGTGTTTCCAGATGTGCGCTGCAGGTCTCTCAGTTTCTGACATTTGTTGTACTTGTCATGACTTCATGACCTGCTTACAGTTACACTGACAGGCTGCGCCCCCTCGTGGCTCAGAGCGGTATTACATAAAACCAGCTGTTACGTTTCCTCTGATCAGCTGATCAGTCAGACTCTGGTTTCTGAGCTCAGAGAAACTGAAGGTGCGACTGAAGATCTGCTCTGACTCAGTTCAGGTTCAAACGTCTTCAGTAAAGAAAAAAAGAGAAAGCAAACACCTGAAAACAGGAAGTTACCTGTTCATGAAGCCGCGGTCCTGGAAGTTATCACAGTCACCTCTGACCTCCAGCTTCCTGCCGGTGAAGCACTTCCCCTCATAAAAAGTAATCTGCAGGACAAACGGTCACGTGCTTTCATTCAATAAAACTTTATTTAAAAATGATTGACAGGACGAAGTTCCTGCTGTAATCTGAAGCCTCCAGTCTCACAGGTCTGAATTTATCATGACTCTGTCATGTGAATCATCTCCATCCTTCACCAGGTTGTTAGTCTTTGATGTCTCTAACATGGAATAACACGAATAAATAACAATGAATGACATTTCTGAATCTAGGCTGGAAAGTAACTGAGTATTTTTACTGCTCTGTAACCTGATCCTGGGCTTAGAGGACGATCGAGCGTGCAGCGACGTCTGTTTGGTCTTAAACATGACCCCAGCTGCTTTATTAAAGTGACATCATCAACAGCAAACAGTGAAGTTTTAACAAAAACAGAAACTGTCGTTTTAATGTTTCACATGAATGTGAAGTGAAACTCAGATGATGATTTATTTTTTCTGTTCTTGTCTTTAAAAACTAAATGTCCTGCTGCTGTGAAGAGCTTCACACCAAACTCCATTCAAAAATTGACTATTTTAAGCAGCCTGATCTTCAGCTTCAGAGCTCAGACTGAAACAGAGCTCAAAGCGATCCTCGTCGGTCTCACTCACCTTTCCAGAGTACTGTGACATTTTGTCCCGCTGGATGTCGTCCAACCTGGCCCGCAACCACACACACAGTGTAACAGAGAAAAAGTTGGACACCCCAATTTATACGGCAGGGGGGCGACCGAGGGGCGCGGCGGGCCGAGGCCCGAGGCCCCCGGACAAAAGAGTCGGCTTCAAAGGTTTCTGCTGCCTCGACGCTTTCAGTTCATCCAGACCTGTCTGCTGATTCTGCTGTGTGTGTGTGTGTGTGAGTGTGAGTGTGTGTGTGTGTGAGTGTGTGTGTGTGTGTGTGTGTGTGTGAGTGTGTGTGTGTGTGTGTGTGTGTGTGTGAGTGTGTGTGCGTGTGTGTGTGAGTGTGTGAGTGTGTGTGTGTGTGTGTGTGAGTGTGTGTGTGTGTGTGTGTGTGGTGTGTGGTGGTGTGTGTGTGAGTGTGTGTGTGTGTGTGTGAGTGTGTGTGTGTGTGTGTGAATAGAAAGTGCTTGGCCGCAGCTTTGCAGCTCAATGATCTTGCACACGTCACGTTTCTACACAAACAGGCTGTGGTCAGGAGGAAGTACTGCCATCCTTTACTGCAGTAAAAGTATTCCTAAAAGTACAGTACTAATACTGCGTCACTGACACTGCCTGCACTGATGCAGCTGTTAGGTTTCGTTCAGTCTTTCCTTGACTATTTAAACTTTTCCAGGAGCTGAGCTTCAGTCCTGCTTTGATGTGACGTCTTCATCTCTCTGAGCACCAACAGCAGCAGCAGTGAACCTCAGGCTGAGGTAAAGCTACTGTCAGCAGGTGAACAGGTGACTTTTACCACCACAGTTTGGGTTTCTACTTCCTGTGTGTGGTTCTTTTTCTGGTTTTTATCCTCCTCGTGTCTCCTGTGTTTCCGCTTCCTGTTTTATTTTGGTAACTGCTGTTGTGCTTCCTGTTTTTATTGCTGGTAGGTTTCCCGCCGCGTCCTCACCTGTGTGGTTACAGTTGATGTATGTGTCCTGTCAGCACACAGGTGGACAGTCAGAGGACGTACCTGTCAGGTGCTCTCAGCTGATGGAAACACTGCACCAAGCTGAGACGAGACAGGAAGCACCGAATCAAAGCTTTGTTCTGTTCTCTGAGCTGAAACCTTCAACCTGAAGCAACATTAAATATTATTTATAATGTTTAAAACATGAAACATTATAAATGTTTCTCTGAGGTGTGTTTGCAGGTTTTCTGAGGATCAGGCTGAACACAGGCAGAATGAAAGCACATTAACCACCTGCAGCTCTGACTGTGGTCACATGATCGCAGTCAGCTGTTTGTCAGGACAGCCTCCTGGGCTCAGGCTGCCAAAGCTCCGTGTCAGAGCTCAGATGGTATCAGGCTGGTTTCCTGAACACGCCGATGAGTTCACTGCACTCAGACTCCACAGTCACAGACTTTTGATCGTGCTCTGCTCGACGGGGTTTACAGGCTTCTACACAGGCAGCATCTGCAGTTCCCCTGATGTCCAGCAGAGGCAGCAGTGAGTCAGCCGCAGAGACGTGTTTAAATAATCATGTTCACAGATTTGGATGCTGCTGTTTCCCAGATGGCGAGTGGAGCCACGATTGAATTTTACAGATATTTCTGGAGTGACATTAAAGATTTGTTATTAGAGGTATTCAATGAATGTGTTAATGATCAGATGCTCTCTCCAACTGTGAAACGAGGAATAATTTCTTTACTTCCTAAGCCAAACAAGGACTCTGTCCTTTTAGATAACTGGAGACGTATCACACTTCTTTGCTGTGATTATGAATTGTTAGCTCATCTCTATGCCAACAGATTAAAAACAGGAATAACTCAAATAATAGATGAGACACAGTCAGCCTTTATAAAAGGGCGTCACATCCATCATCATACCCGTTTAGTATTAGATATGTTGGATTACAATCATTTAATTCCTCATGATAGCCTTATTTTATTTCTTGATTTCTTTAAAGCTTTTGATTCTTTGGAGCATAATTTTTTATTTAAAGCTCTGGAGGCTGTGGGTTTTGGTCCCAGATCTGTTAGTGTAATGAAAATGTTGTACAGAGATATAACAAGTAGAACTGCTCTCAATCAAGGGTTTTCTAATAGTTTTAAAATTAATCGTGGCATTCGGCAGGGATGCCCTATTAGCCCGTTATTGTTTATTGTTGCAGCAGAAATACCATTTATATCAAACTCTCTCCAGATGTGGAAGGAATAAACATTCTTGATAAAGAATTTAAAATTAGTCAATGTGCTGACGACACTGCCTTATTTCTAAGGAATGTAAATATGGTCTCTACTGCAATTAATAAAATCCTTTCAGTTTCAAAGCATCCGTCTTAACACTAAACCTTAGAAAATGTGAAATCTTAGCTGCACAGCTGTAATCAAAGTACTGTTAACAATATTCCAGTAAAAGAGGAAGTAAAATACCTTGGTTCAATAATCAGTAAGAATATTAATGATGGAGAGAATAATAACATAACTTCTAGATTAAATGTAGTTTAAAAAAAAAATGTAATCACTGGCTAACACGTGATTTATCCATATTAGGTCGTATCTTACTGTCTAAAGCAGAAGGACTTTCAAGACTCACATATCCCTGTTATTCAATTTTTACATCTCCCAAAATGATCAAACTGTCCAATTCTATTTTATTCAGCTTTATCTGGAAGAATAAAACACATTATATATGCAAATCACAATTAAAGACTATGAAAACAGGGGCTTGAAAGCTTTAGACTTTGAATCCATTATTGCTGCGTTCAGGCTCAGATGGATGAACGACTGCATTTCCCTCAATCTATGTGGTGCTATAATCCAAACAAACTCTTTAATAAGCTCGGGGTAGATTTTATGCTCAGATATGATTTTGAAATATCTGAGATTCCTCTTAAATTGTCTAGTTTCTATAAGCAAGCTTTGAATGTTGGGAAACTAATTTTCACCCGCAATTCTGTGTTGTGGAATAACAGGGTCATAGTCATCAATAAGAGTCCTTATTTAAATCAGACTGGTATGATAGCGGTGTGTGTTTGTTTTTGATCTGCTTGATAAAAACAGAAACTTGCTATCTTACGAAGAATTTATTGATAAGTATAAAATAGACGTTTCATTTAATAATTATAAGGTTTGTAAAGCGATACCATCGTAAACACTTTAAAGTGTTCACTAACAAGAACAAGCTCACCTTCACTGACAATGACACCTCAATAAAGGACAATTTAGTAATAAGTTAATCTCTAATACCTGTAAGCAAACTGTATTCTGTAACTATAATGTCAATGTCAGACATCACCTTAATAACATGTTGAAAGAAAAGTCATTTTCTTACCTAAAATAGCCACCTGTGCCTAAAATGAAAGAAACACTTCAGAATCATATCTGATGTTTATCCTGTATAAAAGGTTTAAGTTCGAGTCCGACTCTTTTCTGTTCTTCTCATCCAGAAACACTAGAGCATCTATTTTTCAAATGTCAGCACGTTGATGCAGTTTGGTTTGAAATACTCTGCTGGCTTTCACTCAGAATTTCCAATATACCTGCCTACACATGTAAGGATGTTCTTTACTTTATGGACAACCTGGACTCTGAAATCTCAGATGTTGTCAGTTTTGTAATAGTGCTGTGTAAGTGTTTTATTCATTCATGTAAGTGGAAGATGCCTCTCCTCTGTTTACCGTCTTCTTCAATTACTTTTTTATGGGGGCGATCGTGGCTCAAGAGTTGGGAGTTCGCCTTGTAATCGGAAGGTTGCCGGTTCGAGCCCCGGCTCGGACAGTCTCGGTCGTTGTGTCCTTGGGCAAGACACTTCACCCGTTGCCTACTGGTGGTGGTCAGAGGGCCCGGTGGCGCCAGTGTCCGGCAGCCTCGCCTCTGTCAGTGCGCCCCAGGGTGGCTGTGGCTACAATGTAGCTGCCATCACCAGTGTGTGAATGTGTGTGTGAATGGGTGGATGACTGGATATGTAAAGCGCTTTGGGGTCCTTAGGGACTAGAAAAGTGCTATATAAATACAGGCCATTTACCATTTTGTCAATATTTTAAGTCACTTAAGCTTATTTCAAATGTGAATAAAAAAACTGCTGTACTATGCAGTAAAACCACAAAGTACTTGTTATTCTAATGTTCCTGCCTCTGTCAAAAGGTCTATGTTCCTTATTATTAAACCCCAGATACTTTATTTTCTCCCTTTGAAGTCAAAGACTTGCTTCACCATCTTTATAATGTAAATTGTTACAATTCTGGTCTGTTTGACTTGGATTTGATCATTTCTTCCAACTAAAGCTATTCTGTTATACCTGTATGCAAAAAAAATATTTCATAGTTCAGCAATACTGATCAATCTAATAAACTTAAACCTACACCATCCTCCCTATTCTGGTATTTTAAAGAGTACTTAGCGTAAATATTAAGCAACCTAACTAATAGTGTTCCAACTCCCAGCAACAACAAAAATAAATAAATAAAAAATAGGGAACCACCCCTCACACTCCACCTCATGATGCTTAATCGACGTAATCAACCTTAATTTGATGCAGTGTGAAAAAAAATGCACAGAAATCAATTATTTTTCAAGAAATATTAAATAGATTCAACATCTTTCTTCAACAAAATTGCAGACTGCACAGATGGTACCTTCCCAAAGGAAAAAGTACTATAGCTTACTAGGGTATATTAGACTTAATAGTTACTATATACAGTAATTGACTTCTATTCATTTTACATCAAATTAAAACTTTGGGTGTCAGATAATTATTTATTAAAAGCTAGACATTTTAAATGAGAATAAGAAAGAAAAGTATGTCTTTGTGCCCCTTTTCCCTGTTCATGCCCTATCGGCCCCCCTGGCTAAACTTTGCTAGATCCGCCCCTGCACAGTTACCAGCGTCAGCTAGAAAAAGATCCTCGAGTAGAAAGTAATATTAAATAAATTCTAACAACAGCTGATCAAGCTTAAACGTGCTGCTGTTGTTCAGCCGCTGGTTTCCTCTTTCTGGTGCAAAGTGGGCCAAAAACAAACAAGACAGACGGACTCGCGACAGAAAAGCCAATCAGCTGATCGTTAAGCAGTTTCATGATTGAAGTAGCAGCCGGAGAGCGAGAGGCAGTCGCT